GGGTCAAACCTCTGCCCGCAGCCCTTGTTGTAGCACAGCAAAGCCATCGCCCTGGACAACTCGCGGCGTCCTTCACTCCTGCCACAGAAATCCCACCGGGCTCATCCCTGCCCGTGATCCCTCCTCTGCTTCCCCAGAGTTTCCAGCCCGGGCTTTGCCTATCTTTGGAGGCAGCCGTGGGAGGCGCTGGTAACCCGAGAGCGGGCTAAAGATGGACAGAGCAGCTGACGGGGCCTGGCGCCTCTCTTATCTCAAAAGGCATTTCTGTCCTGGCCCTGTGCCCAGCAGAGGGGATGGGCACTGCAGGGTGGCCTGGGGTGTGCAGAGGTCCTGCCAGTGCCTGCCATCCTGCCAGCATCCCTTGCAGAGGCACCAGCACCACCCCAGCGCTCACACACACAGCTCCTCTGGACCAACTGCACCGTTTCTTTAGCATTTACAGAAGCAGCTGAGTTTCCTGAAACAGATCATGGGTCACAGTCTGTGTCTAAGGGATTATAACACAAGCAGGTCTGGCTAGGTCTTGAGCCTCGCAGAACTGACAGTTAAAAGGCAATAAAGCACCTGTGGAGCTGCTTTAGGATTTTATCTCTGTGTTTGACCAGATCTTAGCATTTTTCATTCACCCCTCCAAAAGTGAGTGTTCTGCATGTTCCTTGTCTTCTGTCTGGACATATCCTGCAGGTGTCCCTGCAGGGGATAGGGGAGACAAACACCACCCAGAAGCTGCCTGTGACCTCAGGAGACCAGGCCTGCCTGGTTGGCTCAGACTGCAGCAGCATTTTATACCCTTTCACAGGCCAGTGTGCACCACAGTCAATCACACACATCTCACATCCCCCACCTCTGGAATACATTAATTATGTGAGCATTCAAACAGTTCCTCCTGCAATACCCACCTGCTGTTCTCATCTGATCTTAGGGGTGTGTGTGGGGGGGGGAAGGACACACACAAAGACCAAGACCTGACTATGTTTCCCTGAGCTCACACCAAGGATGAAAACTGTTCCATGGAAGATCACTGTCATCACAGAAAAGTGCAAAATGTTACTTGGCACCCCTGTACCCAGGAGGGGTGTGCCCAGACTCCCTGCCCCCATTCTGGGACCCAAGGGTTTTCCTCTACAAACAGGAAACCCTCTTGAGATCAAAGGTTTTACTTAGTTCCTATAAGCATCTAAACCAAATATTTTCTTTTTGCTGTTCCTGCTTGCAGAGACAGCTGTTTCCTGGGTGCTGCCTGGACCTCCAGGAGCACACAGCACCTGGGCCCCATTTCTGTTCAGGAATATAAGGGTCAATATAAGTCCTTGGCTCTGTCAGATGGTGCAAAGGGAGGGAAACCCACAGGGTCTGCCATGGTTGATGCAACTCCACCCCTGTCCTATGATGTTTGTTTAATCTATTTAATCTCCTTACAACAGCCTGAAGAATCTTCTGTCACCCCCAGGGGATCTCCAAAGTTCAGAGATAGGGTGAACTACCATCAAAATTCTGAAGTTTACCAGGGAAATTACTCCAAACTTATTTCACACTGCCCTGCTACTTCACCTCCAGCTCAGTTCTGCCAGCCCAGCCAGCAGCACCAGGTTTTCCCTTGTCATCCCACTACCATGGAGAGAGCCCCTCTGGAGGGGAGCACTGTCTCACTGACACACCTCCCTGGACCTGGGTGCCCTGTGTATAAACCCACACCCACCCAGAAGCTGGGAGGGAGATGTGAGGGCACTGGGGAGCTCTCACACCAGCCTGAGCTCAGTGGCTTCAAGCTGATACCCTCCTCGAGGCACTGAACTGCCTCAGATCACAGTACCTGACCCAGCAGTCCCAAAGGTGGGTAAAAAAATTCTGCTGGCATCCTGAGGCAAGAAGGATGAAACAGGGACCCAAGGAAGCTGGGCAGAGGCCTGTGATGGGGGAATTTGCAGTGCTCTAGGGTTTCAGATGTGCCTGTCCTTTCCATGAGCTGTCAGCAGGGCTGCAGCTGTCACCACCCCCGTGCCAGCGAGGATCTGGAGCTCGGGTTACCTCGCACACCTCGGAGGGAACGCCAAGAGGGTGATGTGGCTCACACACATTGCAGAGATACCAGCAGGTATCTGGGGGGGCCGAGGCTGAGCAGACCCCCTCGGCAGCACCGAGGGGCAGCAGCACACCTGAGGTTCTGCTGGAGCTGGAGCTTTAAAAATCAGGAAGAGGAGATGAGGTTCAGGTGGCCAAGAGCACGCTGGACTGCACATCCATCACACAGCATCTTGTTTGAAGCTGAGGCTTTTGGCAGTGGCACTTGGGCTGTGCTGCTGAGTGTGATCCTCCTCCTGAGCAGAGCTCCAAGTAAAGCAGAAGTCACTGTGTGAGTCAGCTGAGCAGGGACGACCATGACCTACACCTTTCAAACAGGTTGTAAGGAACGGGCCAGCTGAGAATTAAAAATAGAGCCTGTTTGGTTCACGTGCACTTAATGTCATATATAACAGAACAAAAAGGAGGTAGAAAAATAAAGAATAAATTATTCTCAAACCCAGCTTAATGTGTTTGCCCTTGAACAATCAGGGTCAGTGTAAAACAGCCCTCCACATTCCTGAGGAGAACACTGCTGAATGCCTCCAGGGCAAGAAACCCAGCTCACCCCTGACCCTTCAGTCATTCAGGATGCTCTGTGGAGCCAGGGTAGCAGGAAGGCACTGCATTTCTAAAGCAGAGTAATTCCTCCATACAAAAGGCTGCTTAGGAGGAGGAAAATCCCTGATAAACATATTACTGCTATGTATGCCAGCAGGCAGGATTAATGTTTTATTTATTTGGGAAATAAAAACCTTCCTCAGAAGAGGATGTGCTGACCAATTCTACATCAGAAGGTCTGCCCGGTCACTCTTCTGATTGATCTGCTGAGGAGTTCAGGACCAGCTGTTGTCCAAGAGGTCAGCACTGGTTGTGCTCCACACGACCCAAGTCATGACCAAGATGAAACAGAGAATGACTGTGGCATTTCAGCAAGGCCACAGGAAATCACACCTTCCTTCTCACAGCCCCCACAGGTAGCTCACTGCAGTAGCTCAGCACATCCCACCACTTGTAGCTTTCTGTGATAAATTGCAGCTGCTCCAGGCAGGCAGTGTGCCAGAAAAAACAATTGAAATGTTTGTCTGCTGCTTGATATGACAAAATTACTCAGGTCCCAGCTGGATTTTTCAGATTTATCTGTGATTCTCACAAACTCAGTCATTATTGATTAAGAGGAAGCTGCACCAAGCCCAAGTTGTAACTTCTGAACTCCACAAATGACGGGGATTTAAACCTAAGAGCAAAACATCAAGAACCAAACTGGTCTGGTCTGAACTGATACTGCAGAACTGTTTTAAACAAGGTATGACAGCAAAAGGCACAGGTTTCTCTTCAGGATAGTCAAAATATTGCATTAGCCTGCAACTCCACAGTAGGCAGCACTCTGGACAAGCACTCAGAGGAAAGCACTCCCTTCTGCACCGCCTGAACCTCAGCACATCCCAAGTGCTTGTGCCCAGCCCAGCCCCTGGAGCTGCACTGGCTGCCTGACACAGGCAGTGACACCAGAGCCCAGTGCTCCAGCAGAGGAAGGAATTGCTCTGGAGTGAGGCAGCCCTGCCTGCCCAGCTGTAAATGCTTCTGCCCTAGTCAGTCTGTTCCTGCCACATGCCTCTGAAAACCTCAGCAATGGTTTGATTTACAATTTCCTTCCTGGCACCTCAGTCACAGGTTTTCAGCCTCCTCCTTTAAAGCAAATTAAGAATAGTTACCTCCAGCACTCACAGCAGTTTAGTTTTTCTACTTTTGCTGTCACTGGATCTCCAATTTGGATCTTTCAAACATTGTGAGATGAGCTTTGAGCAGTGCTAAATCCCTCCCTCCCCATGATTTTACACCCCTTTGCTCACAGCCCCACCCTTATGGGGTAGTTGGGCAGGACTGAGAGCAGCAGTGATGCTGAATATTTGAGCTCTGCTGGTTCCCTAAGACAGCGATTCCTCCTCTGGCTGCTCACTGACACACCAGCCAGCTGAGCAGTGGGCAGGACAACGAGAGACAATGCAGACACCTGGGTGCAACTTCACAGTTTCTCCTCCTGGTATTTCACACTTTGGAATTAAACAAGGCACTCACCAAGCAGCCATGGGAATAGTGAATGTCTGATAGCTTCATTCCAGACAAACAGATCCATTCTCTCCCCAGGGCAATAGAAAATCTAATCAGCATTCTCACTACCTTATTTGACATTTTGCAATATTGAGCTGTGCTAGCAAATGTTCGCAGGTGAAAAACGACCAAACTCTTCATACTTCACAATCCACCTGATAATCTCCATTAAATGCCTATCCTCTCAGCAAGCCAGCAACTAGTGCTGATGCTTCCAAATGTGGAAAACAAAACAAAAAACAAAGGGCATCAGCTGCAGCCTCTCTTCAACACAGCTTATCATCCCATTCCAAGCTAATTAAAAGCCATCCAGTGACTGAGTAAATCAATCAAAGCTCCAGAGTGATTATATCATCTTTCCCTACATGACCAAACCCTAATTTAAGGTAACATTTGGCATATAAAAATGATTTCGTCTTCCCTGTGATTTCACAATTCTTCAAGGCACCTCCTTATGCTTTTAGGCTGTAACTCTTTCCCCTCCCTTTCCCACCTAAATTTATTTCTAAGCTTCCCCCTCTGCAGTCTCAGCTGAGCTCCACGTTCCCAGTGACACATGGAAAAGTCTCGTGTCTCACTGCTCTGCATCCACAACACAGACACGTCCCAGGTTTATCAACACTCCCTTACTGCATTCCAACCTGTTGAAGGTCTCATCCCAACACTCAAATAAAACTCGTTTTGTGACAAGGAAAATGGTTAAGAAAACTGTCAGGGGTTTAACAACCTCTTTACAGAGCTATGCAAGAACAACTTTTGCACCATAATCTGAATCCACACGTACACATTTGCATTAAAAAAAAACAGAAGAGACAACACACCAGATAAAAAAGGCTTAAAATCCACTTTAATAATGCATTCCCGTAACATTCCTCAGACAAACTTGAACTTTTTTAGTGGGACAATTACAGTTTGTGTTCAAACAGTTTACACTAAATGAAAAGTCTTGTAGTACTTCTACACAAAAGACAGGCAAGGTTAGGATTATACAAACATTTTTTTCAGTTAAATCTTCAGCATGAGATACAGTATCTTTATCCAATAGATTGTACTTTACTACCAGTAAAAATAAAGAGATACAACACCTTATCAAAAAAATCCATCCCAACAAGAACCTCTCAGCCATTCAGGCTGCACAACTGTCAACTACTTTAAAGAAACAAATGGTCCAGATAAAAAGAGTAACTAACAAGTTAGGAGGAAAAAAAAAAAGAAAAAAAAACAAACATAAAGCCTCCCCCAATTCACTACATGACAGATCATTTGGAGCTATATAAATTTACAAAATCATGGGAGCTGCAAAGTACCCAAATGCTGCCCTAGTTCTCCAGAGACTTCCCTGTGCTCTTAAGCAAGGTTCACTACACTAAAAAAATGCCAAGACATACTGAAATTTTATCTTATTTAGTCTCATGATTTCAGCTGCAAACAGGAAACCTGGAATGGTCGAGGCATTCGGGTCCTTGCCAGATTTCACCGTTACCGAACCACCACGGCAGCCTCCCAGAATCCATTTTTCACTTTGAAATTAGGAATGCACCACATGAAATCTTCTAAAACCTTTACCAGTCAGACTACACTCCCCTTGTCCTAGAGTGGCTTTACCAGAACAGGCCCTAATTAGCTATTTTTTTTTTCAAATGTTCCCCTCCAGTCCCCCCAGGTTGAACCCTGTGTGGCCTGCCAAGATGTCTCTGTCTTTGGGGTGTGTACAGGGGACAGCTTCACCCCGTTAGTATCTGCGGCGCTTGTTGGGGCCAAAATCCCCCCCTGGGTTTCCTCTGTTGAAGGCAGGGGGGTTCCCTCCCATGGCTCCCAGGCCTTCCATGGCTCCGCCCTGGCCGAAGCGGTCCGGAGGAGGTGGTGGAGTCTTGTGAGGAGGACGAGTGAAGAAGGTGCAGGAAGGAAAACAAGGAACAACAAAGGTAAGTCAAAAGCCATTGGAGTCGATTCGAATTCTACCACACAAACCTTTACCCCATCAGAAGCATCCCCACAGTCTCCAAACTGGACTGATGGGATCACTGCAGGACAAAGTCGCTCTCCCCACACAATCTGTAGTCAGGCACACTGGGACAGTCTGCACCACCTCACAGACCAGTGTCCTGCTGTGGAGCAGGAGAGCCTTCTGCACTCACCTTCCCTTTCCATTCCTGGCTTCACCCTCCCCTTTAATCTCCTTGTGTGGTTCACATTCCCTTAACCTCAACCACTTTGCTGTCCCTACTGCTTGAGTACAAAAGCTCATTGCCAAATAAAACTGCTCTTTCTGACAAAAAACCATCTGTGACAAAGCAGTCACAACAGAGCAAGAAGTCTGAGTAGGAAGGTTTGCAGGAAAACTGTTTATTAGAGCAATTGATAAAAACTGCTAAAGGAAGGTGAACTTTCAGGACAAACTTTACTATTGCTGCTGTTTCTGCTGGTGACTGGAAGTGCTGGCATTGTGGGAGGATCAATTCTCTGTATGACAGAGGCCACAAAAGCCTCAGTCTATTGTAAAGCTCTGCAGTAAAGTTTAAAACTAAATCAAATATAAAAATTTAAAGAAGGTAAACAAACAAGCATAACCTCCATTGATTCTTTGCTCTTTATCTCCTAAACAAATTGGCTGAACTCCTTTTAGCCAACGAGCACAGGAGATAACTCTGGGTTTAGAACTGGTGATGGACACAACACTCCTGAAAGCTTGGCTTCATGCCTGCAAGAATCTACTCTCCAAACAATCTCAATTGAACAAAGTGCTTCCCCATTATGTGTTTTGAAAAATAACCATAAATCATTGCTAAGATCTAACAAGCATTTTAGCACCAGCTATCTTGGAAGTAAAATATGTCGTTATTAGACTTGGCCCAGTCTCCTGAAAATTACCAACCACTATCAAGGCAAGATTAACTTCTGAAGATTTCAGCAGGAGTTAAGCAAGAGGTCTAAGCAAGATAAAGAAGCTTCAGCTTTGGCAGCAAAGTGCTTAACATTGGAAACACCACAGTTTGCATTTAAAAGGTGTGCACAAAAAGCAGGTGGAGATGATGCATTACCATTCCCATGGCTCCATCAGGTATCATGGCTCCAGGCCCAGTCGCAGGAGGTGCAGGAGCTGGGACATTGGTACCACCCATGGCTCCTCTATTGTTCATGCCAATGGTACCTGGAAAAGAAAACTGAGGAATAGTCCTGGCAGACACAGTGACTGGGGGCTGCTCATCACTCCAGAGCCCTCAACACCCTCCAAGCTCCCTGCAGTGCTACATGCAGGGACAGAGTCCCAGTCTATCAGCCAGCTTTGCACTAGCAGGTCAAGACAAACTGATCTTGCTTTACAGAATGTTCTGTTTCCTGTCACGTGAATACTTCCTGTCACGAGACTGGGAGATTACTTTGACTGAGTTTCTAAATAAGAAGCCAATAAAATGAGATCACTGAGAAAAATAGTACAGATTTTGTAATAGAGGAAAGGAACATGGACAGGAACAAAGAATACTCTTACCTCCCATACCCATCTGTCCCATTCGCATGTCTGGTGGCTCCCTCTGGAAAGACAGACACTCAGCTGATAATCAGGCTTTTAAAAGAATGTAATTATACAAATTCAATGGGTTCTGGGGATTTACTACTCAAAAATGTACAGAAAAGTCATTCCCAGGGTAAATTTCAAAAGAAAATATCAGCTACCTTCACATGATAACTACTGAATGAACAGGTCTTATTTAAAATATCTCATTCTGAAAAGGCTGCTTTTAACAATCATGGTAAAACACCCAGCAGCAAAGCTGCACATGCAGATTTTAGCAAAGGTATCTTGACATCTGGATGGAAAGATCTGTGAGCAGCAGTAACACATTAGACAGAATTAGTTTTGCTACTCCCTGAGCGTAGCTAAGCAGCTTTTCCTGTTGAAAGGAATGTAAGCTTACATAAAGACACAGTACCGGGTCACTTGCATTAAAATACCAGTTAGGGATTTCAATTTCTTTTTGGTTTACTGTGCATCAGGAATATGTATCACAGGTATCTTCCACCACCTCACTGCAGTGAGGAACACTACTTTTCCCACAGTGGTAACTGAAGACAGATTTCACTTTATCAGTAGTCTCAGTGCCACTGTTTATCATCTGAGGGCACTGTTATTTGGAGGAATCAGGACTTCTGGTACACAGAGATAATGATTCCCACATTTGGGTTAGTCACATGGTTTTGAACCTTTTGGTTTGACATATATGTAGCTATTTTGCCTAGGGGACAATTTTTCACTAGTATCCATAAACACTTGCCCTCCAGCTGCATTGGTGCTCTTACACCACCCAGACAGCTCTACAGCTGTTCCCACAATAGACAGAGGCTGGGACTGGAAACAAGTTGCAAGACAGTTCTTTTCACAGATCTGGAGATACTGTTATTAAAAGGCAGGTTATCACACATGTTACATTGTAAGAAAATACTGGACCAACTGACTTTTAAGTACAAGCAATTACCATGCCTGCAGCAGTGCCTCAAGTTGAGATCATTTCATCTAAGCACGACTGACACTGCAGGCCAGGGATACAGCCAGGTGGAGAATCATAACAGGATTCTGCTGCAGTGCCTCAGCACAGTACATGTCAGCATGTATTATTCTGAGCAGCACGACAGCAAATGAGGGTCCTACATGAGCAGCAGTGGGACAGAACCGGGGTATTTATACTTTCCAAGCTAAACTGAATTAAGACTGGAGGGAGCCAATAGTTTAGGGTAGCACACTACAGATGTACAGTCCTCCAATCAGGTTAGAATTCACAGAAAAGGCAAAAATCAAGTGTGAGTGCACAGATGTAATGGGAAGGTAGAAGCACTCCTACCGCATCGGCAAAGTTCCCTTTAAAGCCTTCCTGCTGGCGTCTCATCATCTCTTCCTGCTGCCTCCTCATTTCCTCCTCGCGGCGCCGGCGTTCCTCCTCTTGCCTGGAAAAAATGCCCAAGGATGCTCAGCACAACACACACCATCCACCTGCATCACCAAGGATGCTCAGCACAACACACACCATCCACCTGCATCACCGTGCTGCAGTGCTGCCTCGTGGATCTTGACTGGAAACTCAGAACTTTAGGAACATATGAGGTATCTCATGATGAAAACAAATGTTTTCGTGCACCAAGACACTTCCGGCACTTTCATTTTTAAGGAGCTCATTATAAAAGATAACATGAGCACCCCTGTGTGTGTGTGTGTCTCATGAGGAGCAGCTGAGGGATCTGGGGATGTTCAGCCTGGAGAAAAGGAGGCTCAGGGGGACCTTCTCGCTCTCTACAGTTCCCTGACAGGAGGGTGGAGCCAGGTGGGGTTGGTCTCTTCTCCCAGGTAACAAGTGACAGGGAGCGAGGAAACAGCCCCAAGTTGCACCAGGGAAAATTTAGACTGCTATCAGGAAAATGTCTTCACCAAAAGGGTTACAAAGCATCGGAACAGGCTGCCTGGAAAGTGGTGGAGTCACCATCCCTGGAGGGATTTAGAAGATGTGCAGATCTGGCACTTGTGGACATGGTTTAGTGGTGGTCTTTGCAGTGATAGATTTAGCTGGACTCAATGATCTTAGAAGTCTTTTCCAACCTAAATGGTTCTATGCACCCAGCAGCTCCCAAATGCATGCTGACTACAATGCAGTATCATAGATGCAAGACAGTTCTCAAGCCCCTTCTATTACACAAGTAGCCTGGTAATCTTCCTGCAGCTTCTCAAAATGACCCTGAGACAAGAAAGTGCTGCAATGGAGAGAGAAATCTCCAAGACTAAGTTAACCCTCAAATGAAAATGCAGATGCTGGAATGGGATTTCCCAACCTGTAGCACAAAAGCCACTGAATCACTGCACAGATTCTGAATTTTCTATTTTCTTCAGTAAAGGAGCTTTACTTACACATAGAACTGTAAAGAAACAAATACTAATCAATGCAAGAAACTCCTAACTCTTCCATCTTAAACCAAATGTACATTCTCCCTATGAACAAAAAGGCCTAAAGTAACAGCCCCACTTTAGGTAGTAATTAAATTGTCACAGTGAACAATCAGGTGCACTGAAGAGGTGTTTCATTCCACTGTGGATTCACAGCATTTCATAACCTGCCCCCTTACCTGAGTTCCAACTGTTTACGTTTTTGTACTTCTTGGTTATGCAACTCCTCCATTCTCCTCAGCTCCTCCTGGCGTCTCATTAAATCTGTGTAAGGTGACAGTAAAAAACACAATCAAACTCATCTCCCATGCCACCTCATCAATTCCTGAACTAGAACTATAACACACAATGGAATAACAGTTTCCATCAGTGCAGTGACATCTCTCACAATCGGTTCACCAAGGCTCAGTGCCAGGTCCTGCACTTGGGTCACAGCCACCCCATGAAGTGCTCCAGGCTGGGGGCAGAGTGGCTGGAAGATTGCCCAGCAGGAAAGGACCTGGGCAACAGTCCCTGAGTATGAGCCAGTGTGTGCTCAGGTGGGTGAGAAGGCCAGTGGCACCCTGGCCTGTACCAGCAATAGTGTGGCAGCAGGACCAGGGCAGTGATTGTCCCTCTGTTCTGGGCACTGGTGAGGCCAAATCTCAAATCCTGTGTCCATTGCTGGGCCCCTCACTACACAAAAGACATTGAGGGGCTGGAGCGTGTCCAGAGAAGGGCAACAGAGCTGGGGCACAAGTGTGACGAGGGGCAGCTGAGGGAGCTGGGAGTGTTTAGCCTGAAGAAAAGAAGGCTCGTGGAGACCTTATTGCTCTGCCCCTACCTGAAAGGAGGTTAATGGTTGGACTTGATGGCTTTTTCCACCTGAACAATTCCACGATTCCATTCATTTGCTGCCACCATGCTTGGTTACAGGGCACACAGCTACCCCACAGCTCACCTTCAGTGGGCTGTTGCCAGTGTGCTCAGCCACCCACCCCTGGATGGTGCAGGCCCTGTCCCAGCCCCCTGTTCGGCTCTGACGGGTACCTTGCCGCATGAGCATGACTTGGTGCTCGTGGCGAGCTGCTTCCATTTCCATTTCCAGCTTCTCCCGAGCTTCCTTGATGTTGCGATCTACTTGTTCCTGCTGCTGCTTCTCCATCTCTATTAGAGCCTTCCAACGCATGGCATATTCATACTCAAAGCTGCCGGGCTGAGCGAACCGAGGAGGCTGCTCACGCTCCCTGGGGAACAACGAGGAGCCAGTGAATGCTTCGGGAAAGCAAAGAGGAACCAGGAAAAACACATTTGTGTGTCAAATGCCACAGTAGCTCCTTTTAACAGTTAGCTATGGCTGGGACACCAGCTTGTCTGCTCCTTGGGAATCATCTTATTGAAAGGAGGAGCTTGGGCAGAATCCTCCTGCATGGAAACTGTCCTCCTCCATAACAAGCAATGACACTTCTTTCATTAGACACCAAGAGATTCTGGATGAAGAGATTTAGAAATACTCTTGAAAGCAACAGCCTTTGCTCCTGCTGCACATCTAATGGACACATCCACTCCAGGAACAAACACTGCCCAAATGTGCATGTTTATTTCTGTAATACATGACTATTCCTAATACAGTCTCCCAGTTCCCAAAACTCTCATCTTCCTTACTTGAAAAATTCATGAAATCACATGGTTTTCTAATGCCAACTGCTCAGATCACAAGATTCCTACTTATACTGGGAAGTCTTCAAAGACTGTGGTCTTATACCTGGATAGCTCTACAATCTCCTAATGCTATTCACATGAATCCTTAAATTTCTACTGTGGGTTCAAATCTGTTTCCTATACAGGTTTTCTGTAATACTTGCCAGGGAATCTCATCTTATCTGTGTTATCCCAAATTCACTTAACTTTTATTCCAACAACTGAAAAGGACTTATGCAAACTATGTGGAAGCTGCCAGCCTTATCCAGTAGTCTGGATTCACACACCAGTGTGTGCTTTCTTTCAGCCAAGCATGGCCAAGAGAACAGTGTATGCAGTTCTCTCTCCAAAGCCACATTTACAGAAAAAAAAAGAGCACTGATGAGCCACCCTTCTCAGACTGAGGCACTACTCCACAGGCAGACACATCTCCTGTTGCAAGCCAGGCACATACTTGTGATATTGCTGGTTTTTGATGACTAGTTTCTCTGGTAGTCCCTCTTCATCATCATATTGATCCATGGGCTCCACAGTGACAGGCCGAGGGAATCTGTAGAGAAAAGACGAGGTGCCTTCAAGAAAATTCAAGAATGAGATTGCAGTTCTGGAAAGTATGTGTGCTGTGTCTGAACCTATACTGCTTTTAGTACTGCTCAAAGAAATAAAGAGCAGTTGGGGATTTCAATCAAAGTGAAATCAGAAATTACTTTGAACACCTTTTTTTCTTTTTGTTCTAGCAGGAATGGAACTGTTAATCAGAATTCTTGTTGAATCCAAACCAATACTGTACTGTTGATATTAAGAGCTTAACTAGAACCTGACATCCTCCAGCAGGATTTACTCAGCATGAAGTCTTGTTCTGCATCTGCTTTTCCTCCCTTGCTACGTGGCCAAACCATGGGCCACACAAATCCATCGTGCCTGTTTATGGCTGTCTAAAGCAAAGAGTAACTACACCACCCCTCCCTGGAGACTGCAGGCTGTACCATCCAGTCACACTCTCCTGGTGAGACCACCAGGCAGTTGCCAAGCAACAGTGCTCTGAGTGTCCACTGGGCCCTGCCTGAATTCCCACCGCCCAAGGAATCCACTGGTGCACTTCTCAAGAGCTGCACGTGTGCTTCTGTCTTTCTGGCTTCTGCACGGAAGTGTCCCCAGCCTCTGAATCAGCTCCCCACCACGGGGCCAACACTGCTCAGCCCCATGTGCCAGAGCTGGGCAGATGGAGGAGAGATGATCCTGCTGTGCCAAGAAGCACGGGGTTCCCAGGCAGGACAGCAGGACATGGGAGGCAAAAATCTCTCTCCTCAGCTAAAGATCCATATAATAGCTTTTCACTTTGATGTGACATATTCCATTATTAACAGTCTTACTTTCCAACATGAACCAATTTCCAACAATTTATCTACTATTACTGCCTTCAACTAGGATAAACTAGAATGAATTTAATCAAAACCTAACCATAACTAGAAATAAACAACAGACTGGTTTGTGGTCCTAGATATCAGACCCTAGTGCACTGATAGCTATAAAAAGATTGAATGTTACCCTCAGTTATACTCTGGTAGTGATTAGTTTTGCATGATCACTTCTAAAAATCTGTTTACATGGTTCTTCCAGGATATAGACTTCAGAATCTGCAAAAGCTCTCTAACAATAATCCTCCTGTAGAGCACTACACACTACACTGGTCAGCCCCAAAGTCTCAGGGAGAAAAACAGGTATTAAAGAAATAAACCAAACCTGCTTTTGGAAACTGAGTGTTCCTATGTACAGTTGTGCCACTGCAGATCCCCAAGAAGTGAGAAGCACAAAACTTATAAAATTACTTTCAAAATTAGCAATACAGCCCCATTTCAGGAAGTATTCTAGTCAGAGATTCTAGAAGCATAAATACAAAATATACAGTAATTTTTGTTTCCAAGAGATCGGAAATGGCTCCCTCTTAACTCTTAGAGCAGTAAACTGAGTGCTCTGTGGAATGCAACTAGAATTGGTCATTTACTTGAAGTTCACATAACTATGCAAGAACATGCTTTGCTGCCTTATTACATTTCAAGCACAGGCAAAACAAATGGTGAAAACTTCAGACAATCCCATCTGAGCAGTTTCTCCAACAGATCCCATGCCCACAGTGGCATTCCACCCCAGCAGTGCCCGCTGCCAAGTGGAGCCCCATCCCAAGACTCTCCCCTAAAGTGACCCAGAGTGTACAATTAACACACTCGAGCTTTGTTTCCAAACAAATTGCATGGACGGTCTCTGAAATAACTCCTGCTTCTTAAAGGCTGCTTTAATTGCCCTCAGAAGGTTGTTTTATGGAGAAAGAGTTTATTGGGAAGTTTTATGCACTTACCCCACCAGCAGCTTCCCAGAAGAAAGTTCTCAGGCCTGAGTTTCAGCCCAGACTGTCTCTTACTGGAACAAAGCTACACAAAGTTCTCCCCAGGCCAATCCCCTCGTGCCCCACCTGTCCCACCGTGGTGCAAGGACACTGCTCACAAGCCCCTGCCACCCAACGTGCACACATGCCAGTAGAGCCCCTCGTGCCCTCCACACTTACGTAGTCAGCAGGAAAGACCCATCACTACATCTATCCAGGGCTTTCCTGGCAGCAGGCTTCCCTGAGAACTCCACAATGCCTTTCCCAGAGGATCGGCCTCTGTCATCCACAATAACCACAGCCCTTTCCACCTGGCCAAACACTGAGAAGGCTTCCTCCAGGAGCTCATTGGACACAAACTGGGGCAGGTTCCTGACTGTCAGCGATGCGCTGTGGCAGGCAAAGCGCACTCGGAGCTGCTTCCCACGGAGAGGCATGTTGTCTAGTTCCACCTTGGCAATCTCTGCCAGGGTGCGAGTTTCCTGCAGATAAAAACAGGTGGCATTAAAACTCTCAACGTGGCATGGGATCAGTGGGTCACAGGCACTACACAGGCTGATTTCTCCGGAACAAGTACTCCTGAGAGGAACAGATGATGGTAAGAAGTGTCCCAACAAAGCAGAGCTATCATCACTGACTCTGGCTGAGTTTGGGGGGGAAGAAACATGAAAGACATATGTTTAGTCCAACAGCCAGTACGAACTAAGCAAACAATTAAATTATCACTGTCCATCACAAATAATTATATTAAGGCTACAAAGTATGCTTTTATTTTTAACAAATGAATTTTTAAAAAATAATCAAGATTCAACTATCAGCAAAGCCTGATAAGGAAATGCTGACTGTATGACAATCCATGAAGCCCTCCTATGCCAGTTCACGCCTTCCCACTCATTTAAGTCACTACCAAGCAGCTGCACCACAGCAAAGTGCTCCAGACTTTGGTGTGGGACCCTCATGCTCCATCCACTCACCTCAGGGCTTTCAGGAAGGTGGTGCATGAGCCACTGAAAACTGGAGAAGCACTACTCTATGCTGGTAGCTCCCTCCCTCGAGAGCATTAATCACTCCAGGAATACTGCATGGCAAACTATGTCCATATTCACATCCTTCCAGAAAATGGAAGTTCACTTTGTCTATGATAGCATCATGTTCATATGGGGCTTTTTTCTGCTTTCTACCAGCTGATTCCAGAAAAACTTCAGCAAATATCTCATAAGGTCTGTCACAAGCTGCCCAAAATTCCAATTTCTTCTCATAACATGCTGGGCAAACCACTTGCAGAAGCTAATCCCATATTCCAGGTTACTAAAATCAACAGCAGGCTTAATTGACAAGATATCTGAACATCTACTACATTCAATTAGCAACACTGCTCCAGTGTGAGCCATTGCCACAAGACCTCCAAGGTAGAAGTCACTCACCAGCCTGATAAAACCAAAGCCTTTGTCCTTGTGTATGAAGACTTCCCCTGCCTTGCCATACTTCTCAAACAACTTTCTCATCTCTTCCTCTGTAATATCTGGGGGCAGATTCCCCACAAATAGGCGGCTTCTTTGGGTGAAGGTCTTTTCCCCGGGTTTCCGGAAATTCTTCAGGTCAATAGTCAGGCCTTCATCTGAGGGGAATAAGGTACACAGCTGCTCTACAGTTGGGGGGATAAATTTTATTAGGTTTCATCACAGTGACCACAGAGACACAGGACAATACAGCTACCACCACCCATCCACTTTGCTCTTAAACCTCTCCAGCCATCTCTACAGCAACCAGAGGGGTTTGATTTCAGAACGGCCCCACAGTTTTCTGTGAAGAAAACACATCCTTGAACCTCAGTGCTCACTGACAGCAGTGAATGACAGTCTAGGACTGGAGAAAACACCAACACCGCAGCTTGAAATAGCATGAGATATTTCACCCAAGATTTTGGAGATCTGCTCAAGGTAACTGGGCCACAACAAAATCAAGCGTAGCCACAATGCAGGACTTTGTTATCAGAACCTGAGTAATGACAGAAGAGCCATAGTTTGGCCATTAGTCAGATTTTTACTCAAAAATAGCCCAAAACAAAACTATTCCAGATGTCCAGAAAAATATGAAAACAAGAGGAAATTTTGTCTAAACAGATAATATTTCAGGTAGCTGTCATTCTGTGAGATGGGATTTGGGTTCTGGAGTACGGGGTTCCAAACTGAAGAGAAGGCTGGAATGGTGAAAACAGTGGAAGAAAACCCCAACCCCAACCCAAACCATCCCAAAAAACAGCCACAGAGGTGAGACCTCAGAAAAATTACAAATTCATTATTATTAAGGTTGGAAAAGACCTCTAAGATCGAGCCCAACATTAAAATGTTTTCTGAGATATCCACCAGTAATAAACACAAATAGGAACATTCTCAAATCCCCACATGCACATACAATCTTTAACCCTTAATTCAGCAGGAGCCCAGCATGATCCTGAAAGCTCTGCTATGTGCCAGGGTGCATTTGGCATCACTTTTATCTCCCTGTGTCCCACTCTCCTAAAGGCACATGGAACTTCACCACACAGGACTGCAAGGCACAAAGCAGTTCCTCTGCTCTGCAGAGGACACAGCTCGTGCCCACACAGAGGAAATAAAATATGAACACAAATGGCTTTATTCAGGCTACAAAGCAGGGCACTAACCAGGAAAGACTGTCCATGCAAAGACCATGCATGCAAAACACTGCAAGGACAACCCTTTCAAAAGAGTGGGCACAAAAAAACCAGACAAGAGTACACCTAGAGAAGTGAGAATAAGTTATCTGCTTCACACAGCAAAGGTGCATAAGTGAAATGTTCTGCCTTGTGAACTTGTTCACAGCATTATCACAAATATTTGGGGATCAATTGCAAGGCCTGTGGATACAACAGGAGGGACCTGGGACGGAGTTTACACTGCTCTGCCTTAAGCAGATCCACGCAAAGGAGACACAGCCACTCACTCCGAGCTGATCCCTGTGGGAATTCCCCAACAGCTGGGCTGTATTGTTTCAACCTGACTGGAAACGACTGCGCGGCCACCCTTGTCTATTATAGTCGGGGAACCGATAAAGAGCCTGTTCAACAGGACCCCCTAATGAAAACACGCGGGATTGGGACACAAAACCCCCACTCAGACCAATCACAAAAAAGTGACTTCTACACGCTTTTGTTTACAATAGCTAGAGTGGCTAGACTTAAAAAAATAAAACCACATCTGATGTAAGTAAAGCACTTTTTCTCCCGAAAATGCTAACTAGCAATGCCTGGCTGCTGCCTAGTTCCAAACTATCCAGTCAGATCAGTTACGAGCATCCTGTCTCAGCTCACAAGCACATTCCCCCCGGCCACATCCCAGGGGGCAGAGCTAGAGCCCAGACCGAGGGAGAAAACCCGGGAACCCCCTGGAGGAGAACAAGGGCTTCCATCAATGTCAACCGGCCCTTGAAAGCTGAAATATCCAGTAAAGCTGGGCATCTCCTGGCTCCTCCCATATATATATATTAAAAAAATCAGCCTTAAGGGTGCCTGCAACACAATCTTCGCAAAAACGAATTAATTTCTCTAGTAATCCTGTAATTTCCTCTAGTAACCTAGTTTCTGAAGTTACCTAGGTTTTTGAGGAAAGCAGATGTTGAGAAGCCATCTGTTATGGCCGGATAAAGAAAAAAAAAAAAAACAAAACAGGAACCAGACAACGAATACCAGACCGTATTGTATTTGCAAGGTTTTCAACAGGAACACTGTTAAAAAATCGCGGTGACTTCCAACTTCTAAGGGGGCTTTTCTCGAGACTCTGAGACAAAGAAGGAACCTCCGTATCACAGTTTCTACGCCCCAAAACTCTCTATCGCAGTGCTGGGAACACGCGGAACTCGGCGAGCGAATCCCCGTCAAACACAGGGGAGCCGCGTGTGCCTTTAGAGCGCATCGAGCAAAACCAACTCGAAGACCTCACAAACACAACCCGGGCGCAAACTCAAACCACTCTCTCCACCGAGGGGAAAACGCCGCCGCGGCCCGCCCGGGGGAGCTGAGTTTTTTATTGTTTTAAGGCGAAAAGCCCGCGTCCCTTTTGTTCCCGCCGGGACCTGTTGCGGACCGCGCGGGTTTTCCCCGCCGATCAGCGGGGACAGGGGGGCTGTGCCCGGCACTCACTCTGGCTGTTGGCCTGCTGCCCGTTGGCCGGGATGGACGGCGGCGGGTGCTGCTGGTGCTGCTTGCGCGGCGCGTGGTTCTGCTTCTCCATGTTGAACCCTTTGTTGCCCTGCATCTTCCCCCCAACACCTGCGGGGGAGACACGCGCGGTCGGAACGCGGGGCCGGGCGGGGGAGGGCCCCGCAGGCCGCGCCGGGCCCCGGCGGCAACGCCGCGGCGGAGCGGGGATGAACCGCCACCCCTGAGGGCCGTCCCCCCCACACACACCGCGCGGCCTCACCTTGCGGCGGCACCGACCGGGGATGCGGACACGGACACGGACACCGGGCCGGGCTCCGGGCCGGGACAGCGGGACCGCGGCGGCCCCTCAGCGGAGAGCGCGCGGCCGGAACTCGCGCAACCTAACGCGCTGCTCCCCCCCCCCACACCCCTCCGTGGGCCCATTGGCCGCCGCGCCTTGAGGGAGCCGCGGCCGCTCATTGGGTGGACTCGCCGTCATTCATGGGGAGAGGAGGGACCGGGCGGGCGCGCCGGGACGCGATTGGGCCGGGCCGGTCCGGGCGGGCGCGCGCGGCCAATGGAAGGCGGGGAGGCGGCGGCGGCGGCGGCGCAGCCAAGCTCGGGTGAGAGGAGAGCGGGGGACAAAGGGAGAGGCCGCGCGGGCCGCCCCGCGCGCGCGGCGCGCAGGCGCGGTGCGGGGGCCGCGCGCGTTTAAAGGGCCAGCGGCGGCACCTCCCGGTGCCGCCGCTGGCCCTTTAAACGCGCGCGGCCCCCGCCCCTACCCCGGCAACGGCACCGGGACACCCCCGGGGGCGCAGCGATTACAAACCACCCCCCCCGATTAGAAACCCCACCCTGGGAACGGGGGCGCGAAGGGCGGCAGAGCTCCCCGGGGAGCGGGGCGGCCAAGAGGGGGATGCTGCCCCGCTGGGATGGAGGGGAGCCCCCCGGTGCGGGGGTCCCATGGGACGGGGAGGGGGCGGTGCCGAGGGCGGGGGGGCGCCGGCCCGGGCGGTCCCTCCCGGGGGCGGCGCCCGCGTCCCGGGCCCCCGCGGAAGCCCCGCCCGGCCTCGCTGTCACTCACCGCCCCGGGGAGACGCTCCGGCTTCGGGGAGGCGGTGGCGGCTCCGGGGCTCGGCCGGGCGGGTCCCCCCCGCATAGGTAGAGGCCTTGGCGGCGCGGCCGGGCCGGGCCCCCCGGGATAGCACCGGGACCAGGTCTGAGCGAGGCGGCAGCGAGAGGGTTAAAAGGGGGAGGGGGGCGGGGAGCCCGCTCCGCGCGATCCGCTCCGCGCTTTGCGGGTGGCCACGCGAACAGCGGCGGGAACCGGGGCGCCCCGTTCCGCCCCCACCCCTCGTCGTGCGACACCCCCCGCACCCCGCCCTGCCCGGCCGGGCCCGCGACCGCCGCCCGCGCGTGGCCCCGCGCTGCCCGCTCGCCCGGCCCCGCTCCGCCGTGGGGATCCGCCCCAGGTTTTGCAGCCTCCCGGCGCGGTGCGCTCTGTGGCACCGATCCCGCGCCCGGCGCTCCGCTCCGGGTTTTCGCCGCCGCCGCCCGCGAGCGGGTCTCGCGAGCCCAGGCCCCGGCGCGGCCAATGGGAGCGCGTCCCTCGCTCGGCGCGGCCAATGGGGCGCCGCCGCCGCCCCCCCGTCGGGCTGCAGCGCGCTGAGGGCTCCGAGCGGCGCCTCCATTTAAAGGGGCCGCGACCCGAATCCGGGTTCTGGGTAGAGCGGGCGGCGCAGCACCGGGGGGGAGCCAGGTACGAGCGGCGGCGGCTGCGGGCGCGTCCCGGCGGCGTCCCGGGAGGCGCGGGTGAGGCCGCGGGGTGTGGGGGGCGCGGGCTCCTGGGGCGCGGGTACCGGGGCGGCCCCCGGTGTATGTGTGTGGGGATGGGGGGGCGCGCGCCTGGCGGGAGGGGGCGTGGCCTGCGGCCCGCGAGGGGGCGTGTTCGGCGCCGCGCGCCCCCTGCCCGTGCCGGCCGCTGGGGGGCGCCCTGGGGCGGGTCCCGGGGGGGGGCCCTGAGGGACCCTCGGCCCGTTTGGGGGGTGCGGGCTCTGCTCCCCCCGGGATGGGTGGGAACTCACCTGCCTGGCCCCAATCCCGGCCCCCGGGGAGACCCCCGTGCCACCCCCGGCCTGTGGGACCCCCCGGTGTGGATGGGGAGACCCCAGCTGAACCCGCGCCCCGCTGCGGATGGGCCCTGTGCACAGGGACAGGGTGGGGTGGGGGCCTGTGCGACCCTCGCCTCTTTTAGGGGGGGTCTGGCCTCTGCTACCCCCTGGGATGGGTGGGGACCCCCCAGCCTGACCCTCGTGCCAGTGCAGCCCCGGCCCCATGGAGGCTCCAGGGCGACCCTCAGCTCTGTCCAGAGGGGTGTTCTCTGGGTTCCCCCGGAATGGATGGGGAGCCCCCAGCGTGACCCCCATCCCCACCCGGGTGCAGGGAGGGATACCCTGTGCGACCCTCGCACCTCCCGGGGGGATCTGGCCGGGGTGTGGTCTCTGGGTCCCCACCCTGGTACAGAGCAGACCCTGGGGACAAGGGGGGTGCTATGCAATCCTTGCCCCTTTTAGGGGAGGGTTTGGGCTCTGCATCCCCCTGGCATGGCTGGGGATTCTCCAGCCTGACCCCCACCCTGGGGAGGTGCAGGGGGCAGCCCCCGAGGGGGTTCTGGGACCTGGCTGTGCCCTCCCCCCATGTCAGTGCCTGGGCCCAGGCTGGTCCTGGAGTTTGTGGTTCCTCGAGCTGCCCCAGCCCCTGGCATGCCCACCCCAGTGGGGCCTGTCCCTGCTGTGGGGGCTGTGCTGGGCAGTGGCAGCAATCAGCCCCTGGCAATCTCTGCCCCAAAGCTCTGCCCTGGCACCCACCATGGCTCGGCTCTCCCCTGGTCTCCAGGGGCTCCGAGCAGCCTTTTTACTCCTGTCACCACACGTAGCAGCAAAGTCTGTGGTGCTCAAGGCAGCTGCTGCTCTGTGAACTGTCCAGCCATCCTGACAGCCTTCCCCCTGTGTGGGTGTAGGGTCTGGAGCCTCTCCAGGGCTTGGGGGGCGTGTGTCCCTGGGCACCACATGCTGCTGTCGAGGATCTGGCTCCCTGAGAGGGAGGTGCAGCCGCCCCCATGGGGCTGAAGCTGCCCTGGCTGCTGGGGGAGGCGAAGCCCAAATGTGCTGAAGCCTCACCATGTGAGTGGTGTAGCCGTGGCCAAGGAGGTGCCTTGGGGAGCATGGAGCTGCTCCTGTGTGGTTTGCAGCGGTGGAGCAGGCCTGGCTGGCTGTGCCTGGCACGGGAAAAGGCCCTGGCAGTCGGATCTGCTTGTGTGGGCAGAGGCTGGACGTGGTCTGTGTCAGGTGATGGTGGGAGGTAGGATTTTCAACGGAGTGCTGGGGAATGGCTCCTGGAGTCTCTTTTGATGAGGATGAGAGCTGCTTCATTTTTGCTCTCCCCTTCCCCTGCTGTGCTTCAGCCATGGCTTTTGTTCCAAGCTGCAACTTCTCTCCCTTTCATTGCGGCTGCAATCCCCAAGAAAACTTTTAATCTGCATTTTGTCACCTAACCCTGCCTATCCTGGGATCAAAGCTGGTGATAAGAGCATAGCCCTGTTGTTATTGTGAGCTTAGCCTTACTAAAGGAATATGCACAGCCTACAGAGCTGAAATGACTAACCTGAACCTCACAGCCCCATCCTCCGTATTTCCACAACCTCCTTTTCTCTCCACACCTGTTTACATCCCTCTCAACTGCCAGTGCCCTTGCTTTGAAGGATCACAGCAGCACCAGATTCCTCCATGGCTCTGACAGCCAGAGCAAGGGGCTGGGGCTGAGCCCAGGCATCACTTTGGGAGCAAAGCCCCCTGTGGGGTTTCTTCATGGATGTTTTGTGGTCAGTGGTGCTTGGATGCACGACCCTGATGGGCACAGATGTGCTGGCAGAAGCCTCTAATAGAGAAGGGTTGTGGTGAAAGCAATCCTAGGGAAGCATGGAATAGGCTACAGCTGTGACAATGCATTTGTTAGCTTAGCAAAGGCCCTGCCAGCAGGATTTCACTGGATTTGTGTTTTAGTCTCAGTAGAGCGTTTTGTGAGCTGCTTCCTCTGCTGGCAGCACAGGTGAGGAAATGGTTTGAGATCATCCTCACCATTCCTGCTGGCCGTGGGCTCTGCTGGTGTCTCTTGGCCACTTGCTGTGAGCCTGCTCTGCTGGCCTAGCCCTTGGCAGCCCAGAGGAAAAGGAGTCAGTCTCTGGACTGGTGAGACATTGCTCTGTCTGACACAGCATTAGCCAGGGCCAGCTCGTGCAGCTGCACGTGAGGTGGAGCCCTTTCCAGGGACTTGGTGGCAGGCACCTTGCAGAGGGATCTGGGGCAGAGGACACCGCTCACATTGTGTATCCAGTAGCTGACTCTGCAGGGCCACTGAAGGAAAAATAGATGTCTTGCCCTCAAAGATGCATCCTCTTGGTGACTCTGCCCTTTTGTCTTCTCTCTCTTCCCTGTGCACTAAGGTTTACCCACAGAAATAAGGGACTCTGGAAGCCTCAAGTCCAACTGACCTTCTGCTCGCAGCAGGACCAAGTTGTTCAGGGTTTTGTCCAGTCAAGTTTTGAGGACTTCCAAGGCCAGGGAGTCCGTGGCCTGTTCCCAGGCTGTGGCATTCTCCTCTGGAGAGCCACCTGCTGTGCCTGCAGCTTCTCTCTCCAGCTGTCTGTAGCTGCTTGTGTGATGTGCCAGGACTCGGCGTCAGGTCATCGATGTCCTGCAGCACTTGGGCAACAGGTAGAGGGATCTGGAGGCCATCTGTTTTTTACCACTTCCAGGTCTTTTATTTCTTTTAATCAGCATCTCAATATCCCTAAGGCAGTTTCAACATACACTGCTGTACACCTCCAAGCCCTTTTTGTTGTGCTTGAGATAGTATTGCCAAAGCTTTTTTATGCTCTCACCCCCTTCTCCTGCATTTAACACTCTTTGGGCAGATGTTGTCATGTGGTGAGGGGTGAGCCTTGAAAGAAACATTGCTTATTCATGCTACAGACACAAAGCTGGTCCTTGAAGCTGAATTGCTCTGCAGATACCAGGCCTTGCTGCTGTGCCTGTACCTGGGCTTGTTACTCCTTTCTCTGTTGCAAAGCCTTGACACTCTGTGCTTGGGGGAATTCTGCTCTTACAAGAGGATGTGAGAGGATCCAAGCAGCTTCAAACTGCTGCCAGGATGGCATTCTGGATGGATGAGCACGCTCCTGGTGGTTGTCTTAGAGTTTGCTGCTCACACAGAGGTCTTGGGGTAGCAGCAAGTACTGCTGAGATTGAGGAATGTTGTCAGGTACATTTGAAGCGTGGCAGGGACTCTCCTGGTAAACCTAATTCCAGTCAGTTCTGCCAGATTTCTGAACTTTGCACTTTCTTGAAGCTGAGCTGAAGTTTCTGGCATGCAAGCTCAAAATCTAGTTTGATCATTCCTGCCTCTGAGGAATTAACAGGACACTTGTGGTTGCTGTTCTGCAGCACCATCTGCCCCGTGCTGGAGGATTTGGGCTTTCTGGATTCTGGGTGACTGCTGTACTGTGTTTGAGGCTTGCAATGTGAGCTGATACTCCTGCTGTGGCAAATGTAATGGTGGTCTTGGTCCCTTCTGGCTTTGTGGGACTGTTAGAAAACAATTGCTGGATTCTTGAGCTGCTGGTGGTATTCTGGGAAGGCCCTTATTTTCCCCATGTGCCAGTTCCTGTTGTGTAGACAGTACCAGGCACAGGTGAAGGCTGGCCTGGAGGGGACATGGTGAGAGCAGTCTAATTAGGAACCAAAAGTGCATTTGGAGATGAGACAACTGTTCTGTGAGCCCTGCCTGCAGAGCACAAGCTGAAGGGCTTGCCCAGTGACATCCTGCAGTAGCTAAAGCTGGCTCGGAGAGAGTCACTGAATGCTGTTGTAAAAGCCCTCCAAGTCACGAGGTCAGTTGTTTAACCATCTGAGTTTGTCCAGCTTTGATTTCCAGCTTTTTGAGTCCTTGTACATTTGTGTATTTGTCATCTCTAAAGACTCCTCCGCTGTAGATCTTCTTACCTTGTGATTTTTTTGAGATGGGTCACGTCTCCCCATTTTTTTTCAGTGAACAGGATAGGTTTATCACTGGAAAAACCTGAGCCATGGTTGATTGATAAAGCACTGGGATTCTTGCATTACTGTGTCAGATTGTTTTAAAAAGAAATTATTTTAAACATCTCAGCTCTTCCAATAACTGTCATCAAGTGTAGACAGTAGCCAAGAACGAGACAGGAATGGTCTAACATGGCAGTGTGTGCAAGTAGCACTGTACTGAATATCAGCAGTGGGCTTTGTGCTCTTTGAAGGCTGAATTTGGGCTGGAGGGTGGGAGCTCAGAGCTGCCTCTCCAAAACCAAAATCCTTCCTTCTCCTTTCTGGAGAACCTGGACTGGACTGAAACCTTGTCCTCAGCAGTGTCCTTGGTTTAATGGCGATTCTTCATAAATCCATTTGCTTTAAGAGGAGTTCAACAATCTGTGATAAAGATTTGCATTTGCAGTGCTTGAATTTAGAAAGCTGTCAGCTGTCCACATAAGCTCAGCTAAGTCACAGCAGAGAAGTTGGCTTTGGCCATGTTTGTCACTCAAGGTACAATACTGTTAATGAAGATATGTTGACTGAAACCATGATGGTAGGACATGATATCATTTTCTTAATGTTTTATTGCTAGAACTGTGTATTGACACTGTTGGAGTTTTTTTTGAGAAATACTAGGTTGGGTATTACTGTTTTTCAAAAATTTGGCACAAATCATAGGGGCTTCCTCAAGAGCTCTGCTGAGGTCTTGCAGAGCTCTTAGGTAGGAAGTGACTGAAATGTTAATGTAAGTGTCTTAATTTTTGTAATTATTAGTTAATTCTTTTTGTATTCCAAATGATGTCTAATAGCGAAAAAGATAAATCTTTCAGCCTTCAAAAGTATTGAAAATCTGAATCCATATCCATGAACAGAAGTCCAGGACAGGGCCCCAAGCAGTTGCTGTTCCTTTGCTAAAGGAAAGCAGTAACTGCATGGCTGTGTTTTCTTTGGGGGCAGTAAAGACTTCTCAGATATTCACTTCGTTGTGAGGGAGTGGCAACAGTATTTTTTCTTACAGTCTGGTCTTAATTCAATGTTTACTGGTAGATGCACATTTCTGTAGGTAGGCCACGTGATCCCTTGCTAACCTGAGGACACTGAGATGTGGAAGATCTGTGCAGTTCCACCTCCACTGAGGTCTTTAATGAGCTGGATAAAGTCCCAGGTAGTCACTAGGTGTGCTTGGGTGTCTTTGGAAGCTCCTGCAGCTCCTTGGGAAGCGCTGTGCTGCAGGCTGGTGTGCAAGGGGCTTTGCTCCTTCAACTTGTTCTCTTCCCAGGGATATATCTGTTACTGAATACTCCAGAGAGGTGCTGAGTGTAAGGAGTTTCCAAATGGCCAGTGGAGCAGTTGGATCTGCTGCAATGTGCAGGGTTTCAGCAGGCTGCTCCCTCTTTGCTTGGCCAGGTCGTGCTCCACTGTACTCTCCTCACTGCCAGGTATGAGGCTGGAAAAGAGGAAGATTTCAAGCAGACCAATGAGCAAACCCCAGTGACTGAGCTGGTCCTGGAAGAAAAAAGGTGATGACTTGTGGTGGATCATTTCAGCATCTGCCAAAAACAATAAGCTGTTCTGCTTCTGTTGTAGAAAGTGAGAAAAGACTTCAGCAGAAGAGAGGTGCACGCTCCGTTTGCAGCTCAACTCGCTGTGAAGCTCAGCAGAAAGCCCAGATGAATCTCAGTGCCTGGGGCAGGCAGAAGCAGAGCTGCTTACCTTGCTGCAGCTGAGCAGCTCTAATTTCTTTAGGTTGAGTTTGACTTTGGAGCAACTCACAGAACTGGAAAGCATCGTTTTCTCCTGTTCTGAGGGTCACCCTCTTCATCCTCATCAGCTGATAGTTGAAAGAATTCATTGTCAGGAACATTCCTCGCTTTCCCACTCAGACTGTTTGTCAGCATCACATTGGGTCCAGCCTCAACTCTTTAACTCCATCAGTTCTGCAGGTTCTCATAAATACACCAAGAGTTAGCATTCATCTGCCCTGGCTGGCCTTGGAGCTCTGCTGCAGCAGGCTGAAAACAAACAAAAGGAGAATACTTTTAAAAACTAAATGTTCAGATGCAGAAAATAGAGCAAGAGAGTGGTCTTAGAGCAGAGCCTGGGGTCTGCAGAAAGGTCTGCCTGTCCCAGCCACATTCCAATAGTTTGGAGGTGCTTTAGTCTGCAGAATACTTGTTCTCTTTAAAATTTCTGTTGGTCAGTGATGTCACCATTAATGTCAGAGTTTTGTCTTTGTATTGTAATGCCTAGAACTCAAAAGCAGTGTTAAGGAGTGCACTGCTGAAAGCAGATACCTTTATTCTACTTGTAGAGCTCGTGAGTTGCATGGCAGTTCACAGATTAATTGTTGCTTCCATTATCCCCTGGGAGGGAATGCCCAAATGGATTTCTTGTGCTCCATATGCTTTTCCAGGATCTGTTTCTACCAAGCAAAGACCAGGCCAGCTGAAAGTGGCAAATCCTGCAGGAGAGTCAGCTTAGTGGTTCTTTGCAGACTCGTGCATAGTGTCTGAGGTGATTTTGAGGAGTATGTTAGCCCTGGTAGGTACACCTATAAATAAACTTTCCTTAATCATCTGGATGGCTTGTCATGTTTTTGCTTATTGTTGTAGGGTCTGCTGTCTGTCTGGGGGACATCTTTGAGCAGGAGGCACTGTTTGTATTCTGAGCATTAGAAAAAAAAATGTGTTTATCATCTTGGGAGGGTTCTCATTTGCTTCGAATCCTTAGGACCTTTCTTTCAGATGTCTTTGTTTCTATTTCACTTTGTTCTTCTTTCTGTCAGCCACCCTAAAACTCGTATTAGGTCTTGTAATGCTCTGGAATTGCCTTGTTCTAGCAGCTTTGTCTCCTCTTGTAACTAAAAGTAAACAAAATCACCAAAGTCTTTAGTGATGAAACTTGCTGAGCATCTCTGAGATTACATTTGCTGTAGTTTCTGTTTGTGACTGTGGGAACAGTGCTTATCTGCCCCCGGGAGACACAAAACTTCACTGTGTTTGCAGATAAAATAAGGAAGCGGTGGCTTTGAAATCCAGATGTTGGGTATGATTTCGCTGAACTGCTGCTTGAGTGAGGCTCAGAAGTTGGGTGCATTCTTTGTCTGAATATGTCCTGTTTAGTTCTGAGCAAACCATTTGTGAGTGAGACTTGGTTGTCATTTCAGAGCAAAGGATATGAAGAAAGAATTAAACAGTGTCACCGGTGAAATTATTTCAGGCTTCATCCTTCATAGATATAGAAGAGTTATGCCCATAGTAAGCCCCAGTTGACAGGAATACTGGATTTCTGGTTCAGGGCTTAAAACAGTGCCAAATTTTGAATTAGAATTGCTCTGACAGGGAGGGGTAGGTTGATGCCACATCTTTTGATTCCAGTGCCTTTCTTGTAGTGTCTACCTACAGCCTGTTTTGGGGACGTGATGCTACTTGAAGTCTTATCTGCCTTACCACTTGCAGACTGCAGCTCCTACTCCCTTTCCCTCTTCAGGTTTGTCAACCATCCTCTCTTTGTGGGGGTAAAATTTATTTTTAGACAATATTACTTGTCTCATCTCAAAGCCTTGGCCTTTCTGTCCTGTGATAATGCTGCCCATGAGGAGCTGGGCTGTACCTTTGCCTCTGAGGCTGGCAGTCTGCTCCACACCTTCCTGCTCCAGTGCACTGTCTGTGCCCTGCAAAGTCACACTGGTCTTTTCTCCTGACTCTGCATTGCGTGCTTGTTGTCTACCTTCGCTACTTGTTCTTCTCGTGACTGCTTTTCATGTCAGACTTTCTTCTTGCCACTCTCCAGAACTCCTCCTTAGTTCTAACTTAAGCTTTTCCAATTGTTCTGTGCCTGAATATTAGCCCACGTAGTCTTGGGGCTATGCAGCAGCTGGAGTTATACTGTAACATTGTTTTTATCTGTCCTCTGGCAAAATTAATGCATCTTGTCATCCTCTATCTTGTTGAGGCACAGGCTTGCGGGGCTTTATTTCTACCTCTATTTGAGAGAGGTTTAAGAGAAAAGATATTTTAAAACCAAAAGATGTGTTAGCTCCGTGAGAACAGATGAGGAGAAAGGACAGACAGGTAATTTGGATAGAGAGGAAGGCGACGGTGGAGATATCAGACACCGCGGAACAGCTGTGTGGAGCCTCCTGAATTGCCACTCAAGTCATTTCTGATCCCCCCTCCCCGTGTCACTGAGCATTAACAAGTCTGTTCCATGCTCTGGTGAGGTGTGTGAGGGCTGTAGAGTTCCCAAAAGTCTGCTCTGTTGGACTGCTGTGTCCTGCTGCTGCTGTTTGGCTTTAGATGTTTGTACCCTCACGAGCAGAAGGGACCTGCTGGTGTCTGGTGTCCTGGTGATGGCTGGCAGCATTCCTGGGCCTTACTCCAGCAGTGTTCAGAGGACTGGACAGTTCATGTGCTGTGTTAAACTGCTTTTCATTAACTTGCAAGTCTTTCTCTCATTTCCAGTTGCCATCTTCTAAATGGATTCCAGTGAATTTTCAGGATCTCTGGACCCCCTGTCCTTGCCTGACAAACCGCTTATTGGAGATCTCCCTGCTGACATGGAGTTTGGTGAAGATCTCCTGGGCTCCCAAACAGCTTCCACCCAGGAAGCTTCAGTTCTTCAGCCCCCTGGCTGGGATCAATCCAAGCAGATGGCTGCAGGTGGGGACTTGGACCTTCTAGTGAAAGCAGACAGCCTGTCTGAACTAAGTAAATCAAATGACCACGTTCTAGATAAACCTAATGTCTTGGATATGCTGGAGAAACCTGATGTCTTAGATGACTTGGATAAAACTGCTGACTTGATGGAACAGGATAAACCTGAGGGTCTGGATGGGCTATGTAAGGCACAACCTTCCCAGAACGTGGAGGATGGACCTTCAGACTCCTCTGCCCTCTCTAGAGAAGCCCTTGTTCCAGAAGCGTGGAAAGAAAGGGAGGATGCACCAAAAAATTGTTCTGGGGACCTAAAGGAAGGCGGTGCTGCTGCTATTCCTGTGCTGCCTGGTGACAAGGCCCCTGAATCACCTCGAAAACCCATTCCTGACTCTGGGAACCTCAGCAGTGCCCCAACCACGGAAGAAACCACAGCACAGTCCTCGAGTCCAGCAATGCCCCCACCCCAACTCAGTCTTAAACAGACAAAGAAGATGAAGTTGAAAGCACCAAGGAAAAGCTCACCCCTGCAGAGGGAAGGGCTGGCAGGGGAAGCAGAGGTGGAACCCAGCCCAGACAGCAGAACTGCAGCTTTGCCCCCTGAGCCTAAGGAGGAAAACCAGGCAGAGGGAGGGACTGATAATTGGAAAAACTCGCTCAAAGAAAATAGTGTACTCAAAGCACAGGAAGCCTCAGCACCAGCAGGTAAGTTGTTGGCTCAGCAGAACTTGGCTCCCTTTTGCTCAGGAGCTCATCCAGCTGCACGTTGCTGAGGCTGGAGTCTGTTCTGCAGTCCAGCTTTTCCCGTCATCCCCTGCTATGGAAATTGTCAATGGTACTGATAGTCTAGATTTGAGGGTCCTCAGGAGGTGTTTCCCATAGGCCAAGTTCCTCTGCCCAGGCTGACCATCCCCAGGAGATGCTCAGTCTTGGTTCAGAAGCAGTTGGAGGTAACTGCCCACCCAGCCTGCCTCCCACACGCAGGGAGGTCTCCCCCTCAAGGGCTCCTCCCAAGCTGCATGTTTGGATCTCCAACCACAGGTGGTGGGGTTAGGAGCCTTCCTGTGTCTGATCAGCACCAGAATCGTACTTGATAGCCAGGACTGACCCAAATGGTGGAGAACACCTGTGCTCTTCTGTTGGAGAAAAGCAGGATGCTTGATGACAGCTTTTTCTGTGCTTCTGTTTCACAGGAGAAAGCCTATCTGGGAAGGGGAGCGAGCTGCCAGCTGAGAAGGTGAGGAGAATGCACTCAAATATGTATGGTACAGGAGCACAGAGCATGGCTGGCTGTTGTCAAACTCTGTGAGGGACACTGGCTGTCTCATCACCCCTCTGGGAAGGAGTTTGCATGTCTCCTGTGATGGAGTGATCCCTGTGCACTGCCACTGTGCTGTAATGTGGCTTCAGCATGTCCCTGCTACCCACAGCTGAAGTGTCATTCTCATGAGCCTACTTCCCCCTCTCCTCTGTCTTGCCAGCTCTGGTCAGGTATCCATGGAGTTTTATCCATTTTCAGCCTAGCTGTTGGGAAAGCAAATCCCAGAGGTTGGAACTCCACCATGATCTGGGATATTTATCCATGGTTGTCCTAGCAAATAGTTAGCCTAAATATTTTCTGAATGTCTTCTAGGAGCAGAAAAGAAGCGAACGACCCAGAAGATCAGAAACTGCCAGGCCTGAAACTGTGAACTCCTCAGAGAGCAGTAAGTAACTAGGGTTGGTCAACTCCTGTTTTCAGCCTGAGAGAAGGGCCCAGATCCACTGGGGGCAGGTGGTTCATGGTGTGAGTACAGTGGGAACTCTGGAGCTTCCCACCATTCCCTGGCATTTGTGTGTTGCTCTTTTATTGCCTGCCTGTGCTGTTGCCTTTAAGGTCTGCTGGCTCTTGGAGGGTTTTCTGCTTTATAGGTTCACACTTTAGGCTTCTGCTCAACCTTAGCATATCATGACTTCCTAAAGAGGAATTGTTCTTAAGCCCAGTTTGCTTAAAGACCTCTTGATTCATCTCCAGTTCCAACAGAATTTCTTTGAAGGGTCCCTTTATCACTCCACCCAGACAGGTACAAAGTACATAGAGGGGCTCCAGAAAGATGACCCAGAAAGTCCCAGCATGTGTCTCATGGCAGAGTTTCTCAGTCCATAATGAGGGATTTCTGTGCCTCTTCCTCTGCTGCTTTGCAGTTCCGGTGTCTGACGAGGACTCTGATGCAATGGTGGATGATCCCAACGACGAGGATTTCGTTCCTTTCCGCACGCGGCGCTCGACCCGCATGTCCCTGCGCACCCAGATGGCCCAGCGAGCCGCCCGCTCCACCTTCACCAAGATGACCTGTGCCAACTGCAGGACCCCCCTGCAGAAGGGCCAAACCGCCTACCAGCGCAAAGGGCTTCCTCAGCTCTTCTGCTCCAGCTCCTGCCTCACCACCTTCTCAAAAAAACCACCTGGCAAGAAGATATGCACCTTCTGCAAAAAGTGTGTGTTCATTCCCCTTTCCTCAGTGCTCCTGTGCTCGTGACCCCCTTCACCTGCTCCACAGCTCTGCCTGCCAGTCCCCTTCCTATGGCCCTCATTCACCCACATCACTCCTGCCCCCTGCCAGCTGCTGCCCTGTGTCTTCCTTCACACACTGCATCTCCCATGCTCCCTACACCCACTGCACGTTGTTGCCATTCCCTGCCTGTCCCCAGACTCAAGGCCCCATATTCCAGCCTCCTCTCAAAACAACCTCCTGCATGCTCCATCTTCAGACACCACTCCTCTGGGCCAGGACAGAAGCTGCTGTGAGACAGTTCTTGCCAACTTTTTGGGACACCAGAAAGTCCCGTGCATTGCAGTAGGCCATCCTATCCCTTTGTGGCAGGACTCAAGTGTCCCTGCACTAACACATCCCCTCCTGATCCCCAGGGAGATCTGGAACACCAAGGACTCTGTGGTTGCCCAGATTGGTTCAGGTGGCTCTTTCCACGAGTTCTGCACCTCTGTCTGCCTTTCCCTCTACGAGGCCCAGCAGCACAGACCAGCACCTCAGTCTGCAGATGCCTCGGACACCAGTCGCTGCAGTGTTTGCCACAAACCTGGAGAGGTAAATAAATCCCTTGTCCTTCCCATGTCCTGGATGAGGTGCTTGGGACCTGCAGCGTTTGGCCCAGCCTGGGACCAGGGCATTTGCCGGGTTTTCCAGTGGTGTGAGGCCTCAGCCACTGGGCTGTCTTGGGCTCATGCCCAGGTCTTTTTATGTTACTGTAGACCAGCCCTTATTTTAGCAGAAGGAAGGAGGCTTCTGCTCCTCCCCACCCTGAAGCTCACTGCTTCCTGCCACTCTGCTCTCCCAGTTGCTCCACTGACTTTTGGCGAGGGGGGCCACCCTGAGTTCCGCACCAGCTTCCAGTGTGGCATTTGCCCAAGTCTTAGTGCAACAGCCTGTTATCCCAAGGGCTGTGGCAGCAGTGGTACAGCTGCACTGGAAGGAGGTGGTTTGGGGAGTGACAGCAGTGATGTCTCTGCAGATCCAGCACGAGGTCAGCAATGGGAGCGTGGTTCACCGCATCTGCAGTGACGCCTGCTTCACCAAGTTCCGGGCCACCAAGGGGCTGAAGACAAACTGCTGTGACAACTGTGGACTTTATATCTACAACAAGGGCTTGCCCCTGGAATACCTCTTCCATGAAGGCCAGCAGAAACGCTTTTGCAACTCCACGTGTCTCAACAGTTACAAGAAGGTGTGTGGAGCCAGCTGCCTGGAGTGGGGGGGTCTCTGTGGACACACACATCTGCTTTGCTTGGTGTGGCACAGGGCACTCTATGCAATGACAGGTGATTCAAATCCCCTCGGTCTTTTATTGCTGACAAAGCATTTAAAAAATTACCGTGGAGAAATTTTGAAGCAGGCAAACAGAATGAATTTATTCTGCATGAGGCCCAGGCTTGGATCAGACAGTCAATAAGCTGGACTGTGCAGTGACACTGGTAAATGCAGTTAGCATGAATCTGTTGGATATGTTCCTCTGTGACCTGAGCAGGCTTCACTTAACTGTCTCCATGGGATTGCCAAGCTCTGTATTCCTGCCAGGCTACCTTAAAATGAGAAGCTGAAGTACCAAAGGCAGCCTTTTTTGCTACCACCACCTGAACCTGCAGACTGTGAGCCCGGTTCTGCCATCAGGTGGTCACTGCAGGAGAGCAGTCCTGTGGTGGATCCAGGAGCGGGGTGGGATGTGAGGGTTGGAGCTTGCTGGCTGTGCTGGTCTCCCTGGCAGCTCTGTTTTGCTCTGTGCTTGCAGAAGAACACTCGGGTCTACCCCTGCATGTGGTGCAAGACGCTGTGCAAGAACTTTGACATGCTGCCCAACGTGGATCGCAGTGGCAAGATGGGCCTGTTCTGCTCCATTTGCTGCACTACCTCCCACAAAGTGAAGCAGTCAGGCTTAGTCGGTAAGAGCACCTGCACAGAGGGAATCAGTCACCTCTCCACTCTGACTCCCTCCTTAGCATGATTTATTGTTTGTGGATGGGACTGAAAAGAAGATGTGTTGCTTGCCTGGGGAGGAATCCAGTGAGACCAGGGGAAGGAGATGTGGATACCGAGGAACCCTTGCAGAATGCAGACACCTTAATATGGAGGGTAGTGTACACTGCTGTTCCTGAGAATGCAGGAGCAGGTGTAGTGCTGGACTGTGCTGGCACTGCCCTTTCTGTTACATGGAGTACCAGGGTGTCCAGGAATGGGTATGGTCTCTGGTGCAAGTATTGCAATCTATTTTGTCCAAAGTCCTGTAGGGCAAGGTCACTCCCTTGAACCCCTCTGCTCTCCATCTGTGTTTAACATTTCTGTCCTAGCAGAATCTGGTGCTCTTAGTTTCCTGGTGTTCTTGTCCCTTGCCTTTTGATAGCTTGTCAGGCTGAGGATGAGTGAGTAGCTGGCATGCCATCCTCACAGTCTCAGTCTCACATCGTTTGCTGCTGCCCTCACCAATTCCTATCTGTTTCTTCAGGTCCCCCTAGACCCTGCAGCTTCTGCAGAAAGAGTTTATCTGAACCCTGCTATTACAACAAGACAGACCGGGTTGTCTATCAGTTCTGCAGTCCCAGCTGCTGGACCAAATTCCAGGTACTGAAATATCCTTCGTGCTGGGCTGGGCCACAGAGCTCACGGCTCCTTTCCCACTTAGCAGAGGCTCCACCTTCCTCGAGCTCCTCAGGGAGGGTTCCTAAGAAAGTCTCTGGGGAACACAAGAGTTGCAGTGACTGTAATTGCTCATATCTCAGTCTTGGCCCCATCATCCCCTTCCTCCACTGGGATGAGGCAGGCTGTAATTCACTCCTGTCTGTCAGGTTATGCCCAGTGGAAAGGCAGTGCAGAGCTGTGCTGTGTGAGTGGTTTGGGATGTGGTGGCCTTAAGAGAGCATGAGCAAAAGCACAAGTAAGCCAGCAGAGCACAGCACACACCTGCTAGCTGGGTGGAAAGGGGCAGAGCTCCCCTCTGAGTCAGGTATCACCAAGAAATGTAAGCCTTCTAGAATGTATTGTCTGAAAACTTAGAGCCAGCAGGCCTGGGTACCTCGTGTTTGATAATCCTCGAAGGCTTGACTGGTGGTTCTCAATCTTCTGACGTTAAGTTTCAGCATTTGTGTGAAATGTCTGTGGTATTCATGGGCAACTTGAAGGTTATTAGTTTTGTACAGTTGTCAAAGAACAAAATAACAGCCAGGAAGACCTGGGAAACTTAGGCCAGGACGTGTGAAGTGCAGCTGAGGAAACGTAGAGAATCTAGAGGTAAGAGGCAGTTACTGGCAGTTGCAGCATTTGGGTTTTGGAATATTTTATTTTTAATTGGTTGTGGGGTTTTTTTAGTTGGTTGGGGGGAGTGTGGTTTTTTTTTGGTTGGTTGGTTGGGTTTTTTTTGATTGGGGTTTTTTTGGTGTTCTTTTATATATCCTTGGTGTAATCCTTCACTGAGGTCACAAATAGTGTGGGTAGTGTAGCAGTAGAGTTTTTACAGTTGTAGACTTCATAAGAGTAGAATTATAGAACAGTTTCTGTTGAAAGAGACCTTTAAATGTCATCTAGTCCAGCCCCTGCAGTAAGCAGGTACATCTTCAACTAGGTCAGGTTCCTCAGAGCCCTGTCCAACCTGACCTTTAAATATTTATAAGGATGGGGCATCTACCACCTCTCTGGGCAACCTGTGCCAGTGTTTCACCATCCTCGTTGTGAAAAACTTCTTTATAGCTAATCTAAATCTACTCTCTTTTAGTTTAAAACTATTACCCCTTGTGCTATTGCAACAGGCTCTGCTAAAAATAGTTGCAATGTTTCCCTTCTTCCAGTTACCTGAGACTTCACCAAGTACCTAACTTGAATTACTGCCATGTAAAGCCAGCATTGTACCATGGGAGTGAACCAAGGCATAACCTGGATTAGGAACTGTCTTGCTGGCAGGTCTCAGAACACACTTGTCAAACTAAAACAGCTGAATCTTTCAGAATGGTTTCTTGGGGATCAGTATTAGGCTTGGCTTAATACTGATCAACGGAGTTCAACGTCTTCATCAGTCATTTGGCGATAAAGTCAAAGTAAACATAGTAAAATGTTGCAGATGAAGCAAAACCTGGTGACCTTAGCCCATGCTGAAGCCAGGGCAGTCACAGAAAGCAAAGCAATTGGATTGATTGACAAGGCTGGTTCCTCCTCCTAATCTGTGCTTAAATACAGTTCAGTGCAAGATCCTGTGTCAGCCTTACTCAAGTAGTGTGGGGATGCACGTCCTGGGAAAGTAAGGATTTTGAAAAGACCTTGGGATTACAGCAGATAAGCTGTTCAGTGTGAGTGTCTCAGTTTACAGCCACAGAGGTAAGGATTAATTAGGTTCTTGCAAGCACAAGCAGAAGAACATGGAGTTTAAAGTCTGAGGGCTAGGGAGCAAAAGAGCTACCTAGAATGTTGCACAGATAGGACAGATAGGAAATATTTTCCAGTGTCCACTTTATTTTCAATATTGCAGAAAACTTGAAAGTATCCTGAAAAAAAACAAACAAACAAACATAAAAATTGCATTTGGGCTTGAAAAATGCTTATACTGAGGCACTTGCAGAATGCCTTATCTGAGGTTATCAGAAAGAAAACCAGGAAGATGACTTTATTAATAAATAGATCCTCATGGACAAGACACCAAATGCTAAATGGTTGTTTAATCTAGCAGAAGGTGGAATGAGAAAGGACTGTTTGAATTCTGAAACCTTGAAAGTAGAAACCAAGCACCTATGCTTCAGGAGCTTTTAGAGCAGAGGTTGCAGAGCCCCCATCCCTTGATGTTTTCAAATCCAGTGGGGTGGCAGTTTGAAAGCTTGCCCTCCTGAGAAGAGCTGGACCCAGCACACTGGAAGCAAAGTGAAATTGCTGTCAAGAATCTGCTCTCCAGGAGCTTGAGGCATGGTCTGGTGGACCGGCTGAGTCACCAGCGGTGGCAGCAGGTCTGAGTGGGGCCGGGTGGGCTGCTGTGATCGTGGAGGAGGCAGGCAGTGGTGGCAGTGAGAAGCAGGTGTCCACTGCCCTCCACGTGGCTCTCCCTCCATACTCTGTCTCCTCTCCTGCAGCGCACCAGTCCAGAAGGTGGGATCCACCTCAACTGCCACTACTGCCACAATCTTTTCAGCGGGAAGCCAGAGATCCTAGACTGGCAGGTGAGGACTTTCCCTGGGGGGGAATATTGAGTTGGAGGCCAACACTGGTGAGAGCTGCAGGGCTCCTCCCTCTCTCTGCTCAAAGCAGAGCTCCTCCTGTGCCAGCTCTCTGAGAGCCTTGGCTGCAGAGATGTGCCTGGAGACTGTGCCGAGTGCTGCGCTCCTGGAGTTCAGTGGGATGTCAGAAGGGCAGGAGGAGACCACTTCTGCCAAACCCTGTGCCAGCAGAGCTGGGGAGTTGACTCAGCCCTGTAGTCTTTCTCCTGCTCCCTTGAGAAGTGTGGGAACCTCCTGCCAGCCTGGCTGACCTGGCAGCGGTCTCTTTGGCAGGACAAGGTGTATCAGTTCTGCTGCAAGGACTGCTGCGAGGACTTCAAGCGGCTGCGTGGGGTGGTGTCCCAGTGTGAGCACTGCAAGCAGGAGAAGCTGCTGCACGAGAAGATCCGTTTCTCTGGAGTGGAGAAGAACTTCTGCAGCGAAGGTACTTGGGGAAGGCATGGGAAAGGCAGAACCTCCATGCCAGCCCATGCTGGGGGAGGAGAAGAGAGCATGGAGAGGAACAGAGGGGAGCTTGTCTTAGCCAGGCCCTGGGGCAAGAGCCTTGCCATGCAGTGAAGGGAGGACTGTTGTGGGGATGGCTTGCTGTCCAGCCAGGCCCTAGGGCTAGATCTTTACCGTTCATTGTGTCCTTGGGGAGGGCCTTCTCACAGCTTTTCTCTCTCTGGGGGCTGGGGAGACAGCAGGTGGCAGCTCCGCTCCTCCTGTCATCATGCACTTCTACGCTCTTGCGTCTGGGCTGGCCTGACCTGGCCTTGCCCTGCCTGCTGGGTTCCTGCACACAGGAGGTTGGAGTCAGACTCTTCCTAGAAGCATGGAGGTGAGAGATGGCAAGTCCCCATGAGGTCCCATCTTATCCCAGCCCCAGGGGCCAGTGCTGGATTGTTCCCTACAGTGTGTTGCGTGTGCTCTGTTGTCTCCGCAGACCTGGATTTTGGTCATGTTTGGGTCAGGGAGGCCCCCAGTTCATCCTGGGAAGGTTTCACTCCTATTGTTTCTCCGCAGGGTGTGTGCTTCTTTACAAACAGGATTTCACCAAGAACCTGGGCCTGTGCTGCATCACCTGCACCTACTGTTCTCAGACCTGCCAGCGGGCGGTCACCGAGCAGCTGGAGGGCAGCACCTGGGACTTCTGTAGTGAAGACTGCAAAAGCAAATACTTGCTCTGGTACTTCAAGGTCAGTATTGGCACTGGCAGCTTGTGCTAAGTGCTGTGGTGGGCACGGCACCCAGATAAGTGGGCATTGCACTGAGGAAGTTCGCACTGCTGGAGTCTGGCTGGCACTGCTGCGGAGAACCTGGCACTGCTGGAGTCCTGCCTGGCAATGACGGGACACTGCTACGGGGAAGCTCACGTAGCTGGAGTCCCCAGCTGATCCTGCCAGACAGAGCACTGCCCTGAGGAAGCTCACAGTGCTGGATCCGCGGCTAGTGCTGCTGTGAGAAGTTCGCACCGCTGGAGTCCCTGGCTGGCACTGGCAGGGCACTGCTGTGGGGAAGCTCACAGCACCTTGCTGTGTGCACCTTTCACTGGAGAGTTGTGTTGCACTCGGAGGGGGTGTGGTTAGTTACTCGTTGTTTCTCTCCTGCTGATGCGGGCTTTAGGCAGCTCGGTGCCATGCCTGCAAGCGTCAGGGGAAGCTGCTGGAAACCATCCACTGGCGGGGGCAAATCAAACACTTCTGCAACCAGCAGTGTCTGCTGCGATTTTACAACCAACAGAACCAGCCCAACCTGGACACGCAGAAGGGGCCCGAGAGCCTGCTGAACAGTGAGTAGGAGGGAGGGAGGGGACCTGCATAGCTCAGTCTGAGAGACACAGGGAAGACTGAACAGCAGGGGGTGGAAGCTTCCTGCCTGGGACTGGAGGAGACGCTAGGGAACAATCCTGCACTGGCCCTTGGGGGGGAAAGGACGGAGTGGGACCTAATGGGCTTCTCCATCTCTAACATCTATGGTTCTATGACACACAGGGCCCAGACGGGAGGAGCCGGTGCCAGCGTGCTGCCTGTAGCTCACACTCTTAGCGAGGATACTCAGGGATTTAACATCCTCAAGTTGCCAGCGGAGAGCTCGATTTACAGGGTTAGGGGACAGCGTGGTTTGGCATGACAATCCACCTGCAGCCCCACACCACCTCCGAGCTGTGACCTTCTCAGATCTCATAAGCTAATCTGGATTGGGCCAGGTCAGTGCTTGGATGGGAAGCATTCAAGGACAAAGAAGGGTGCTGCAGGAAGTGGTGCTGGTGATGCTGTAGGTGGGCTCTCCTCAGCCAGAGCTGAACCTAGAACGGTCTTGAGGGAGCGCTGAGCTGCTGGAGGCACTCTTGTCTTGTGATGTTAGATTGGAGTCCTACCACTTACCCAAAGCTCGCTGCAGCTTTGGGGAGTTGCCAACCCTGTGTCCCACATAACCCCATTCTGCATCCATGGAGTTCCAGCTGGAGAGGAGATTTTCGCTGCCTGTTGCCCCATTTCCTGTCATTAACTTGAGCCAGTTGCTTATGGAAGATTGCAAAGTGCTTTGGGATCCCTCGGGATGGAGGGTGCTCGTAGTGAGTGACAAGACATCACTTGGCCCTCGGACTTTTGCATAATCTCATTCTGCTTGGTCTGGCGTAGCCCACGATGTCCTTGGTAATCTGTGGGATTTAGTTAAGATGCCCGCAGTTTATGGTGGGACTTGCTTCAGTGCATCAAACTCCAACACATCCCTGCACTGCAGGTTCAGGGCTTTGCTGCCTTCCCTGGGATTTCGTGAGGTGTAAAACCCTGGCTAGGGTGTGCCAAGGAGGGGAAACCAAGACAAGGACCTTCACATGAGAGACCTCATCCTCCACCTCCAGACTCTTCTGATTTCTCTCCTGTGGGCTGATTGTAAGATGGGGGAAGCTCCAGATATCACTGCTGCTTAGAGAGCAAAGCAGAGCTGCTCCTCCAGAAGCAGCAGGTTCTCCTAATTAGGGGAGTCCCAACCTGCCTTCCAAGAGCCACATTCCATAAAAACCTGTGTGAGGTGACAGCTCAAGTGGCAGGACACGAGTGACCTGGATAAGGAACAGGGATGCCCATGGAAAGTCTGCTTGATGGTTCACAGTGTTCCTCTGCCTAGGAGAAGAAGAGATGTTAAACTTGCTGGTTCCTGTAGCTCACCAAGTGATTCCACAGCCCTAGCCATCCTGCTGGATTTGTCCTCTGCTTTCAAGGCATGTCACTTGTGAGGGACCAGTAGCACTGCTTTTGCAACACAGGCACAGTGGGCAAACTCTGCCTGCAGAGGGAACCGTGTTTCACGTTGCTACTTGGAGCCATGGACCACAAGACTCAGAAGTACCTTCTCCACCACCAACAATGGGAGTCTCAGGCCTCCTCTTTCACATCTCTGGAGACCTTCAAGAACTTTGCTGCGTGGTATGTGGGGCATCACCCTTCACTGTGCCACAGCTGCCTCTCTGTGCCCCCTGGGAGGACTCTGAGGGAGCCAAGGCAAAGCCCTTCATCAGCAGGGAGTGCTCAGCTGAGCACAAGCTCCAGGCTGCCCCAGCAGCTGCTGTGCTTGGTGAATGCTGCTGGTGGCACTGAGCCCTCTGTGTGTTCTGGCACTCCCAGATGTGGGATAGCCATGGACACTCTTGCCCCAGGACTGTGGCCAGCTGCTGAGTTTGCAAAGGAATGGTGCTGGAGCCAAGGACCTGCTTACACAGGGAGCTTTCCAGCCCACTGGGCTGTGCAGGGGATTTGAGGAGGAGCAGCTTGGCAGCTCGTGGTGAGGAACAGCTTTGCCTGGTCCAGTCGGGGTCTCCTGTGGACCTGACAGCTGCATTGCCAGCTCACAAGGGACTGCCTGGATTTCAGGCCCATCTTGGGCAGAGCTGCTGACTACTTGGTTATTCTGTTGCAGCCAGTGGTTGCCTGGAACCCGTAATTCCTGTGACCCAGTGGCTGCTACCAGCTTAGTGATCTTGTGGCTGCTTGTTGCTGATTGTATAAGCAGCTATTCTTTTGCTGGGAACGGTCCATGTAATGCAGGATTGAGGAGCTTCTGCTACAAAACTGTGCCCAAACACTTCCAAGGGGAACTGGCTCTGTGCAGGGCTGTCCAACTGGAGAGGGCAGAGGGTCAGAAGTCACTGTTGGGGCAGGCAATGCCTTGACAGCTCTTTGTTGGTGTTGGGATGAGAATAAAGAATGAGGCACAGCTTTCCTGGAAGCCTGGACACATGGAGCTTTGTGGCAGGAGAATCTTGTTTTCTGAGTCCTAAATCGCTGGCCTGTGGGGCAATCGTGTTTGCTTTTGATTCTGCTGCAGCAGAAGTTCTGCTCATGCGCCAAAACTTGTTTTTTCTCCGTCAAGCCACTGATGTTTCCTACCTGGACCTGCTGCCCATCCACTTTGGGCTGTCAGGGTGAGTTCTTGGACCCTGAGATTGCTGCAGAACCTATGGCTGAATGCTCAGCTGCAGATTAGGGAGCTTCCTCCAGCTGCAACTTGCCTGTTTCCTGCTGTGATGGCCAGCAAGTGGAGCCTTCCAGGCCTCCAGTTGCACAGGAGCTGTGTGTTGGACCTCTAGGAATCTGGGTCTTTTCCTGAAGAGCCTGTGTGTGTGTAGGAGGTGCAAATGGACCCGCCACTGCCTTTGGGTGCTGAGACCTGCTGCCTTCCTTGCAGGTGTCTCCTCCATGCATGGCCCACGGTTAGTCAGTGCTGTAGAAGGCAGATGTTTTTGCAGCCACATGGGTAACCAGGGCTCACTGGAGGCTGGCATGAAGGTGCTCTGTTAGCTCATAGGCCTTTGAGATGGGTGCAGGTTCTCTGCAGAGCAAGTGAGCTGGAATTATCATCCAAGAGAGGGTGACACTGTCACCACCTGAGACTGTCTGCCACGTGCGCCTCTTACCTGTAGGTGATCCCTTCTTTCTTTAGGGGAATGGACTGCATCCCTAGGGCTGGGGCAAAGCTGTCTCTCTGCTTTCTGGGATATCTCATAATGCTACTGCTAGCTCTGCCACCTTCTTCCTAGGGATCTCGAAGCACTTTGCCAAGATATTTGTAGCAGGGATATGGAGGCACAGGGAGGGGCCATGGCTCGGTACAGCAAGCCAATAGGCAGAGCTGGGAATAGAGCCCTGGATTCCTCTCTCAACAAGGGGCTGGGATTTCTCCTGACCTGCTGTGATGGGATTGGGGTGGACTGCAAGGGAGCACAAAATGACATGGGAATAACTTGATTTTGGAGTTGTAGTGTCTTCTGAGCTGCTAGGGCTAGAGATTGTGGAAACATTAACTGTTCCTGGAGTGGCCAGGAGCAGTTTCTGGGGAGCCTGTCCCTGCTCTCTGGCTGCTGGTACCTCCAGTCCCAGCAGTGGGACACGTTGGCCCAGGAGCTCTTGAACTCAAGAGTTGTTGCTTTCTCTTACAGGTCAGACTTCAGATCCAAAACCAGCTGTCCCTTCCCCACAGAAGACAGAGACTAACATGGTAAGGCCCATTGGAGGTCGGAGTTTGCAAGATAGCACAAAGAGAGCACAGTTCTGCCATTGCTCAGGGAGATTTTGTTCTTCTGCAATCAATGAATTTTAAGATATCTGGATAGTGGGAGCTGATAAGAGCTCCTGGGGAGGGCAGTATCAGCATAACTCTTGCAAGGGGGAAGAATAACCGTTCCCCAGGAGTCGATGATGAACTCCAGAATAACCTGACACTGTGGCACTGGCTCCTCTCTGCATGGTGCTTTTCTGTGCCTGGGTGTAGTCACTGTCCACTGTTCCCCTCTGCCCCGTGGGACAGGAGCCAACAGTGCCAGACTCCTGGCACAGCAGGGACACCACGCAGGTTTGCTGCCTGCCAGGAGCAGCTTGGCAGTCCTTCGTCCAGGCCTGACCCTGGGAGCATCCACATGTGTGTTGGGGGCTGCCAGGCCCCAGGAGGTGCTTTGGGAGTCACTCCAGCTGTAGCTGTAGTAGGGAAGAGGTTGTGCTGCCTTAGGTGAACATCAACCTCCTGCTTTCTGCGTTTCCTCAGCTGTCAGCAAAGGCCTCCTCAGCCCAAACGTCTTCAGCTGCGCCGCCTCCTGCCCCACCCGTGGTTCCAGCCACCCCTCGGAAAAACAAAGCTGCCATGTGTAAACCACTGATGCAAAACAGGGGCATTTCCTGCAAGTTAGAAATGAAGTCCAAAGGATGTCAGACAGGTAGGAAAACGAGACATAACTGCAGGATTACAGGGGCGTTTTGGAAAGGCAAGGGGCACATCCCTGCTCCAGACTGTGAATCCAGCTTGAAATGCTGCACAAAGTGTGTTTGGCACCGTGCTGAGGAGTCCCTGGGCACATGTGGCAGGGCTGGAGGTAGGGAGCCCATTTCCATCAGCAGCAAAAGGAGAGATGCAAAGAGCACTGTAGCATGATCCCACCTCTTGTGGGACAACTCCAGTTGCTCTGGAGATTGTCAGCTTGTCCAAGGGCCGTCCGCTGAGCATGTTCCAGTCTGTAGCTCCTGTTGGGCATGTGTATGTGGTCTCCAGCATGTGCAAGGCAACTGGACCTCTTGGCAGGGTTACATAAGAGCAGGACTTGCACTTTGGCTAAGGCAAGCCTCTCATGCTGCCAGGCTTGACTTGCTGCTGCTCCAGCTCTGTGCACAAGTCATAGAAGCTGGTGGCTGGAAGGGCTGCAGTGCTGGATGGCTGGGAGCATGTCAGTGCAGGGCTGGGTGGAGGAAATTCTGGGATCGAGCTCACTGATGTACTTTTACTCTTGTCAGAGGCTGACTGGAAGCCCCAGGTGGTTGTGTTGCCAATCCCCGTCCCGATCTTCGTGCCTGTGCCTATGCATATGTACTGCCAGAAAGTACCTGTGCCTTTCTCCATGCCTGTCCCGGTAAGCAACGCACTTCACCTGCTCCTGTTCTCCTACTATCTTGATCCTGCCTTGCTGTAGCCTCCCTGCTTCTCTGTTCATCCTCTTCTCCTGCCTCTGCTTTTGTGTCAATCTGCTGAGTGTCAGTTTTCTGCTTGGTGTGCTGCTGTCTACAGGTGCCTGTGCCAATGTTCCTGCCCACCACCCTGGAGAGCACAGAGAAGATTGTGGAGACCATTGAGGAACTGAAGGTGAAGATCCCCTCCAACCCCCTGGAAGCTGACATCCTGGCCATGGCTGAGATGATTGCAGAGGCTGAGGAACTAGACAAGGCCTCCTCGGACCTGTGTGGTAGGTTCTGCCATGGCCTGGTCAGGCCCAACAGCTGGGATCAAGGGGGCTTTGCTGGCTCTTGGAGCTAAAACACCTGCCTGCATTGCAGCTCTCCAAAGCCTCTAAGAAAAGGAAGCAGGGAATAACAATTCCTCAACTTCTGCTGAGGAGTTACCAAAAGGGAAGAGCTGCAGCAGGGAGCACTGTCTGCCACTTTTGGGGGTGCCAGTCTTGTGGCACTATTAGTTTATTCAGGTGGCTGTTCAGGCTCTTCCCTAAAGCAGTTTACTAGCTAGAAAACTAGCAGTGCTGACCTCACAGGTCTTTTTTTACTTGGGGACCGAATTCCTCAAACCCCAGTGATGAGGGTTGTGGCTGGGGAGATGACAAACATCCAGTGTCTTGCTGTCCAGAGAAAGCTGGGCAGTGCAGGTGTTGTGGGGCTGCTCTGAGCACAGGACTGTGCTGCACACAGGGAGCCCAACTTCATTTCCCAGCTGTCACTGGGAATACAGACAAAACTCTGTCAGGGAAGTTGAGTTTATGAACTGCTTTTGCCTTGCAGACCTGGTGAGTAACCAGAGTGCAGAGGGTCTCCTGGAGGACTGTGACCTGTTCGGACCAGCACGGGACGATGTGTTGGCTATGGCTGTCAAGATGGCAAATGTCCTCGATGAGCCGGGCCAGGACCTGGAGGCTGACTTCCCTAAGAGTAAGAGCTGGGGCAAGCAGGTGTGCAGGGCTGCTTGTGCTGCAGCAGGGTCCTCCCACTGCCCTCAGCTAACTGTTTCCAGCAGCTCTAAGAGTTGTGTGAATTCACCTCCCTGTGCCCTCTGACTGACCAGGCCTGGGGCCTGGGGCTGAGCCTTGCAGATAACTGCTTGCAGCAGGGGAGAGGAGACCACCACAGGTGGAAGAGGAGACAGGGACTTGCAGGAGCACAGCAGTGCTGAGCAGGGTGGTAGCAGCAAAGGATAGAACTGAGGTGCCTGTGCCAGGCTCTCCACAGTACTGGCCTGGTACAAGGGCATGAGGACTGTTCCTCAGGTTTAAAAAACAAGCAAACAATAAACTGTCAGAGGGGAAAATGTGGGGCTTGGTTATTCTGAGAGAGCTTAGCATCGTCTGCCAGAACTGTATTTCTTTTGTTGTGCTGTGACTTCAAGTTCATGCCAGGCAGTGGTGGAAAGGTGTGAAGTGTTCTCTCTTCATCTTGCTGTGAAACACTTGCCAGTGCAGGGGACAGGATGAGAAGTCTCAGCTGAGCCCTTCTGCCTGTCTTTCCTTTCAGACCCTCTAGACATCAACCCCAGTGTGGACTTCCTCTTTGACTGTGGGCTGGTGGGACCAGAGGAAGTGTCCACAGAGCAAGATCTGCCTCGAGCTGTCCGAAAGGTGAGCTCTCTGTGGGTACTGCCCGCTTAAAGCTCTTGGAGCTTGGAGCTGCCATCTGGGATGCAGGAGGTGAAATGTGCCAGAGGCTTTGGTCACACACTGCAGTCAGCAGGTCTGAGGGGGCCAGAACTCTTGCAGCTGTCCCAGGTAGGTGCCCAGTCTCACAGTACACCTCTCTGCAGGGGCAGAAGCGCCTGGTGCTCTCTGAAAGCTGTTCCCGGGACTCAATGAGCAGCCAGCCCAGCTGTACGGTCCTGAACTACTCATATGGTGTCAATGCCTGGAAGTCCTGGGTGCAAGCCAAGTACGCAGGGGGAGAGAGCAGCAAGGGAGAGGAGCTGCGCTTTGGCCGTAAGTGCCTTGTGTGGATGCAGTGGAGTGGCAGAGACCTCCCAGAAGCTGGATCTCAGGGTGTTGAGGTGCTCCTGACCTTGCAGGCTGTTGTCTGAGGCTGCTGTGCTTGTCTCCGCAGCCAAGCCCATGAGGATCAAGGAGGACATCTTAGCCTGCTCAGCAGCTGAGCTCAACTACGGCCTGGCCCAGTTTGTGAAGGAGATAACACGGCCCAACGGGGAGCGCTATGAACCTGACAGCATCTATTACCTCTGCCTTGGCATCCAGCAGGTGAGGGAGGCCTTGCTGCCCTCCAGTTCTCCACAGCCAGACTTGGGGGTCAGAACTGGTAAGGGCAGCTTTTACCCTTCATTCTGCTTTCTGGGGACCCAGAGAGGCTCACTGGACTCACCTTCATTGCCTCACCCCAGGACAGCAGCCCACCTGGTTTGGCCTTTGTTTCCAAGCCTAGAGTGTAGGGTGGCAACTATTCCCCAGCCTTACACCCTTCTTGCACATCCTTGAGGAGGGCTGGGAGATCTCCCCAGACTCATTCCCTTCTTCACTGCCAAGTCTGTTTTGTCATGCCCCAAGGTTTTCCTTGCAGCTCTCAGAAGTGTCTGCCCTGCAGCTCTGGTGGCACAAGGAGGGGTGCTCTGCATGTGTGCCCTGGGCTCTCTGGGGAGGGTTTGCATTCCAGGTGCTGCTGTGTTTCTCTTGACTGTGTGTTCTGTCCTTTCTAGTACCTGCTCGAGAACAATCGTATGGTGAATATATTTACAGACCTTTACTACCTGACCTTCGTGCAGGAGCTGAACAAGTCCCTGAGTGGCTGGCAACCCACAGTCTTACCAAATAGTACGTGCCTTCTGAGTACTTTCAGTCACCACACATACCCAGTTTGTGCTCATAGCCTGGGATCCTCTGGTCTGATTGTGCTCCCCCAGCCTCAACCCTCTTTCTTGGCATAGGCAGCACGGTCCTGCTGTGTCTTGGGGTCAGGCTGACCCAAACTGACAGCAGGACCAGTGTGGTTTACGCCTCAGCAGCTTCTGTAGCCCACAGTCAGGGCAGCTGGGAGCAGAGCACATGGGCTTTCTTTCCTGGGACAGTTTGAATCCTTGCAGCACTTCACAGTGATGTCTCCACCCTTTGGCAAAGAGGATGCCCAGCCCAGGGGGCACACTGGCATGTCTTCATGTTCCCAGCACATGGGAAAGCCCTGCACACTGTGCTGAGCCTTGGCCAAGGTTACTCTGCTGCTGCTTTGTGAATGGACTTAACTTAGAGCTCTGCAGAGGCTTTTCATGATGCTGTGATCTGAGCTGCCTTCCCTGCTGTGTCTTGTCAGTCGAAGATCCAGCCTCATCTCTGCATATTGGCTGTCCCAGGCAGAGGTATTTGGCTCCAGACCTGTGTGTTTAGGCAGGAGCTGACTGTGTCTTTCCTGCCTGCTGCTTTTCCTTCATCTCTCACTGAGTGTGGTGGAGCACTGACCTGGAGATCACTTTGTGGCCATCTATAGCGATGAGCAATTAGGATTAATTTGAGTTCTTGTCTGTGGTTTGGCTGTGATCTGGGGTGGCTTGTGGCAGAGCCAGCATCTAGTTCTGCTGGTGGCTCTGGAGAAGTACCTTATGGAAAAAAAAGGTGTTGTCAAGTGTCAGCCTTTCACAGTGAGATTTTCTGGGCAGGGTGAAGGAATTGCCACAAGGCCGCTGTTGACGTGACCTGGTTCTCCCTCTGTGTGTTGCAGACACTGTTTTCTCCCGTGTGGAGGAGGAGCACCTCTGGGAGTGCAAACAGCTGGGTGTTTACTCACCCTTCGTGCTGCTCAACACCCTCATGTTCTTCAACACTAAGTTCTTTGGGCTGCAGACAGCAGAGGAGCACATGCAGCTCTCCTTCACCAACGTGGTGCGCCAGTCCCGCAAGTGCACCACTGCCCGTGGCGTGACGAAGGTGGTGAGCATCCGCTACTACGCTCCTGCCAAGCAGAAGAAAAGCCGAGGTAGGGTCTGAGGGAACGTCTCTGTCCCTCCCCCTGCTTCCCCTGTTGGGATGCAGCCACGATCCAGCTCTCTTCCCCCCCTGCAGATGGTGGCTCTGGAAAGCGGAAGCGTGAGGAGGAGGTACCGATGTTGGAGCAGCGGGAGAACAGGATGAACCCCCTCCGATGCCCAGTCAAGTTCTATGAGTTCTATCTCTCCAAGTGGTGAGGCTTTCTCTGGAGAATGGGCATGTGCCATTTTGGGGCCACCACTCAGTTTTAGTGGGACCATGTGGAGTGACTGCTGCTGTCCTCTAACATTTGTACATGAGCCTGAAGCACAAGGGCTGTGCTGCATGTGTAGACCATGGCTGAGAGAATGCTTCTCTCTGGCCTCTTCCACTTCTTGCCTCTCTCCAGACTGGCAGGAGTGTGCCATATGAGTCCAGGTGCTTGGGTGGTTAGGGGTTTTGGTCCCGAGCAAGGAGCTGCAGACTCAGTTTGTGTCCTGAACCTGCTAGGTGATGAGGGGCTGTGACAAGCCTTGATCCCCCTTTGTTAACCATGACAGCAGGCCAGGCTGGCTGAGCCCCTGAAGGTGAGACCCCCCAGGTCTGACCCCGCTCTCTGTTTGCAGCCCCGAGAGTCTGCGGAACCGCAACGATGTGTTCTACCTGCAGCCCGAGCGGTCGTGCATCGCCGAGTCCCCGCTGTGGTACTCGGTGATCCCCATGGACCGGAGCATGATGGAGAGCATGCTGAACCGCATCCTGGCCGTCAGGGAGATCTATGAGGAGCACAGTCGGCTCAGCAGCCTGGAGGATGACATGGACTAAGAGCGAGGTGCTGCTGGGCTGGCCGCGCTCCAGCCCTGGACACCCCATCTTCCTGCCTCCCGCTGCAGGGCAGGGGCCGTGCAGCACGGGAGGGGATGGTGCTGCAGCAGTGCTGTCCCTTCATCATTACCAGACTTGGACATCCCATCCTGCTCGTTACAGGCCTCCCTTACATACGTGGCCCCCATGCTCAGCTCTGCCGCCTCCTTTTGGCTGCTGGGTGAGCCATCTTTCCCAGGGCCACTTCCCATGGCACAGGGGTGGCAGAGTCCCTGGGGCACCTCCCCTCACCCTTGTCCCCTCCTACCCCCAGCCCTGCCACTCCCCCCTTCCCCTGCCCCAGGGCAGGAGTCGCACAAGTCGGCAGTGCACCATCAGACCAGTGGCCCCCAAAGCTTTTACTTCCCTCTTCCTTCATCATTCCCTCATGAGGCTGCAGGTGGTATGGCAGGAACAGTAGCTCTGCTGCTGGGCTAGGATTGTGGTTTCAAGCCAGTGGGGATGGATCACAGGCTACCTGAGAGCTGTTGGGTCAGGGACAGGGTTTTTTCCCAGATGTGGGAGAGGTTTGGGTTGGCTTCAGAGAGTGGAGGAAGCTGGCACTGGAACATGAGGGCAGAGATCTGGCCTTGCCACAGGACACCTCCCTCATGTGCAGCTGGGATGTCTCTCTCAATTTGGTCAGTTTTTACTGAGATGTCTGAAAACTGATGGAGATGGGTCTGGGCCAGTGCCACCCCTCTTTCCCCACTGTCCCCTGTCCTGATGTAAGCCCCCTCTCCCCTGCAAGGTGCCATCAGTGGGAACCTCTGCTCCAGCCAGGGGCTTGGGCAGCTGCTGGTAGAAACAGGGAGCCCTGCCTGGTGTCCCCCTCCCTTCCAAAGCAGCAGGCTGCCACCGCCCTGCCCAGGGCGAGTCTGGCTCCAGCTGTGCCACTCCCTGCTGCCTCCTGCCCCTCCTCGTGTTCTGGTCAGTCTTCTTGAGCTGTACATGGGTCTCCTGTTGAGCCTGTATATATTGTTCTGGGCCCTGGCCCAGGGCCATCTGTTCTCTGTGTCCATGTGGAGAGTGAGCCGCTCACCAGTCTTGTTGTAGTGATGCCAGGGCGGTAGGAACTAACCCTGTGTCTCTGGAAACCATTCATTTCAAATAAAGATGTGGAAAACTTTTGGCAGCCCCTAGTTTCCCACCCTGGGCAGGGTGAGCGTTGCAGGAGAGCAGGGCCAGTGTCCCTTTGCTGCTGTGCACTGCACTCCTGTCCATCCCTGCCTGCACTGCCTGCACTTCGTGCCTTGCCTGCTTGGGCGTGCTGGGATGGCCCCTGACCCAGTGCCCACTGGTGCCAGCCTGGCATGCCCTGCCTGTCCCTGCCCTGCTTCACCTGACCTGTCACCTGCCCACAGGGCTGCAGCCCAACCCCACCCAACCCCGTGGTGGCTGTGCCCTGGGCACGCAGTGTGCCTGTAGGATGGAGCAGTCAGAGAGCAGTGCCATGTGGGCAGAGCAGGAGTCAAGGGAGGTGCAGTGAGTGTTTATTTGCTCCCCCCTCCCAGCTTTGCTCTCAGCCCTGCTGCTCCCAGGAGTGCTGGGAGCAGCTGAGCCGTATGCCCAGAGCCATGCCCAACTCCTGTGCTGGCCATGGGATCCATGCCACGGGCCTGGCAGGGCCTGGAGGCTGAACCCCCGCTGTGGCCACCGGTGCATCCCCCATCCCTGACCATCCCAGCGGGCCCCGTTCACACTGCCAGGTCTGCCGCTCGCATCTCCCCGTGGGACCCACCAGCCACCCCTAGCCACGCTCCCGCCTTCTTCAGGGGTGCCAGGCCGTGGGGGGATCTGCCAGCAACCAGAGGGCTGCCCACCCTGGGCAGGGTGACATGGGCGCTGCGGGGCCCCAAAGTGCCACTAGGAGTGGTTATGATGCGGGACTTGGGGCCTGGCCCCTGCCGGCACTTGGTGAGACCCAGGTAGTAGATCTCCACCAGGTTGAGCAGCAGGGACACGCAGGCCACCCCCAGCATGAAGAGGATGAAGATGGTCTTCTCCGTGGGCCGGGAGATGTAGCAGTTGACAGTGTTGGGGCAGGGCCAGCGGCTGCAGGTGTAGAGGGGCTTCAGCTGGAACCCATACAGGGCGTACTGGCCCACAATGAAGGCCACTTCCAAGAGAGCCTTGAAGACAACGTTGCAGATGTACGTCCTCAGGATGGCCCCCCGCATGCAGACCTGTCCCCGCGCGTCCCCCGCAGGGAGCTGGGGCTGCCTGAGGCGCGGCCGCCTGGCCCCGCTGCCGGCCCGCACTGCTGCTCGCTGCTGTGCCTTCTCCTCCAGATGCACCAGGTGCAGGATGTGGCCCAGATACACAAGGCTGGGGGTGGAGACAAAGATGATCTGCAGGACCCAGAAGCGGAGGTGGGAGATGGGGAAGGTGCTGTCATAGCAGGCGTTCTGGCAGCCGGGCTGCTGCGTGTCGCAGGAGAAGCCAGACAGCTCGTCACCCCAGACCCGCTCAGCGGCTGCCCCCAGCACCAGGATGCGGAAGACGAAGAGGACGGTGAGCCAGACCTTCCCCACCACTGTGGAGTGCTCCTGGGCGTTCTCCAGCAGCCGCCCCAGCAGGCTCCAGTCCCCCATGGCACACACTGCCCTGCAAGACAGCCACCCTCCAGACACAGCCGCCCCACAACCCACCACACCCTCACCGTCCCCCGGATGGGCAGGAGTGCACAGACCCAACCCACGGCTGTCCCTACAGTGTCCCCATCCCAAGGGACCCCCTAACCCGTCACAAGGAGGGCAAGAGGAGCAAAGGCCTCCAGCAGAAATCTGGGAGCACCATGGGGAACGCCTGCGGTGGTGACCCCTGGGACTCCTCACCGTAAGTGGGTCCGTGGGGCAGAGCCCAGTGCTCCCACGCTGTCGGCTCCTGGGATGCAGGATGCTGTGAGGCCCCTTCCCAGCTGCTCCCCAGCTCCTCAGTGGGTCTGCCAGGTCTGCCTGGCTCCCTCTGTCCGCTCACCCAACGGCGGGCGTGGGGTTATTGGGGCACGAGGCAGCTGCGTGCCCCATTGGCTTTCATTGTGACTGGCACATGGAGCAGCCACTGGGGAAACCTTTTCCCTCTATTTTTGGTCTGGGCACTTTTCTAAATATATTCGGGGCTGCAGGGGCTGGTGCTGGGGGAGTGCAAGCCCTTGGACAGTGATCAATGCCAGCCAGGGGTCACTGGTCCTGCAAGCTATCTGCCAGGCCACCACAGCCCCAGCTCAGCCCAGGCACTGCAGCCTCCACAGCCCCTGGTGCCACCAACCAGGGCTTGGGTGCAGGAGCGGGCACCCCACACTGGCACCCCAGCTCCCGGCATGCCCCGGCCAGAGCAGAAAGGAGGGAGGCAGCACCTGAGAATGGAGATTTAATGGCCCAAGATGCTCTCCTGGCCATCTAGGAGAGCCTGAGAGGCGCCTAAGGAATGCTATCCTTGGACAGGGACAGCAACAAGGCCGTGGGACAACTGTGGGGCAGGGTCCCCCACAGTGCTGGCCCTAGCACGCAGAGCAGCGGTCACCCTTCTCCTGCAGCCCAGAGTTGCGGCGCAGCATGTCCTTGAGGGAACCGTCCTGCTCTGTCAGCAGCTGGTTGATCTCGTTCTGCTTGTACTCGGAGGAATGCTTGTGCCCATAGAAGGAGCTCTTCCCCGACGAAGGGTTGGAGTTGTGCCGGCCCCGGCGGGCACAGGCCCGCACCACCAGGTAGACCAGCTCTGCCATGTTGAGGACGATGCAGATGCTGGAGGTGACCAGCATGAAGACGGTGAAGATGGTCTTCTCAGTGGGCCGGGAGATGAAGCAGTCAACAGTGTTGGGGCAGGGATAAGCCTCGCACTTGACCAGCCGCATCATCTGGTAGCCCGGGTAGAGCATGTAGAAGATGTACATGAACACGGCCTCGAAGAGCAGCCTGAAGACCACGCTGCAGACGTACGTCCACCACAGCGAACCCGAGATGCGCATCTTGTGCTTCTTCACCTCTTCCATGTGCTTGGCATCCCCGTGCCCCGTCAGCATCAGCAGCTTCTTCTCCTGGTGCTGCTGGTAGGCCACGTGCATGGCTACGAGAAGGGCCGGCGTGGTGACGAGGATGAGCTGCAGGGCCCACAGACGGATGTGGGAGATGGGGAAGAAGTGGTCGTAGCAGACGCTGTTGCAGCCAGGCTGCTGGGTGTTGCAGGTGAAGGCGGCTTTCTCATCCCCCCAGACACTCTCAGCTGCCACCACCAGCACCATTATCCGGAAGATGAAGATGACGGAGAGCCAGATGCGGCCGATGGCGGTGGAGTGGCGGTTCACCCCGCTCAGGACCGTGTAGAGCCCGGCCCAGTTCATCGTTTCTCACGTCTGCAGGAGAGAGCGGCAGAGACGGTGTTAGGAGCAGGAAGGGCCCCTGGCTGAGAGCCACCGTGTGCTGGCCCTGGTGGCAGCAGCCCTGGGATCAACTGGCTGTCACAGCCCTGGCAGGTGGACAGCAGGAGGGCCAGACAGCAGGAGGGCAGAGTGGCTCCTGCTGCTCACAGGGCTCAAGGCAGCATTTTGGCCAGAGCAGGCAGGAGACTGGCTGGCCCAGCTGCTCCTGCCCTGCCACCCCACACTGGCACAGGGATCCTAACCTAACAGCTGCCGCAAAGGATGGGGGTGAAGCCCCCACACCTCTACAGAGACCCCCAGTCCACATCCAGTGCTGCATTCTTCAGCTAGGAATGGACCCAAGGAGCTCCACGGGCTCCTCTGCACCAGCACATCCCTTCTCTTGTCGCTCCATTCCCTGCGGGAGCAGGACCAGGGAACCCTAAGCTGGGGGGTACCCCTGTGCAGCCACGCATTGCCACCCTCCCAAACCACCCTGCCTGGGGAGCATGAAGTGACCCCCAACTCCAAGCACAGACCCCCGGCCCCACCAGAGCCTCCCACTGGCACTGAGCAGCCCCGGGAGCTGCTTCCCACCCCGACATGAGGCTGTGGGGCTGGAACCTACCCTCCAGCCACCCCCACCCCGGTGTGGAGAGTTGTGGTGACGCGTACCTGCCGGTGAGAAAGGGTCCTTGCAAGCTGCCCCCAGTGGCCCCTCTAAGGTCTCATGCCTCCCGCAGGAGAGCTCTGCTCCGCCTGCCCTCGTCTCTCTCTGCCACTGCCCTGCACTGGAAGTCATATGCTGCTTTATAAACTATTTACATACAATGGGGCCTTTATCGGCCCCTGAACAACACACTTTAGCATTCAGACCTAACGCCCTGACTTCCGCCCACCCTGGCCCAACAAAGTGCCTGTGTGCTGCATTCCCGCTGCTCGGCCCCGCACCCACTCCCACCTCCCCACCACACCCCGACCACGGCCACAGCCCCCCCCGCGTGGGGTGCCCACGGCTCTGCCCGGCGGGACCCACCCCACAGACATCGCTGTGCTGGACTGGCCACCCTGGAGGTCCCTTCCCTTCCCCGGGATGCATGGCAGAGCCCAGCCACGTGCCCATCCTGCATGGACAGCACAGGGAACTGCGGCTGGAGCAGGGGTTTGGCACTGAGCACCCCGTGGGCACCTGTGGGGCTGGGTGCTGCTGGTGTGAGTCCTGCCATGCCCTCAAGGTTCTGCTGCCAGGGGGTTGGTGCTGACAGCAACAGCTGTGAGGGCATAGGAGCTGCCCTGCGTGTGCCCTGTCCTGTTGGGGACATGAGAAAGAGCCTGCTGTGTGCTGGTTGGGGCTGCCCTCGGTGCTGAGCACTGTGGGAGCTGTGCTTCTCTCCCAGGATGGGCCCACTGACCCTGTTCTACTGCTTGGATGTGCTGGTGGGGGCAACAGTCCCTGTGCTCACACCCCACCCTGTGCCCTCAGGGCTGGTATCCCAGCCACACCACCACACCGTGCCCCGTTCCTGCAGAGATGGTGCCATGTCCCTTGGAGTTTGTTGCCAAGGTGTGCAGCAGCATATCCAGTAAACCCTGCCAGCTGGGAGGGCAACCAAGGCCCACACTCTGCCCCTCGCCCAGCTACCCCCATGGGGGCCAGCACCACCAGCTCTGCCCTCCCTGGCCCATGGCCGAGCCCCTCTGTGAGTCCCCGTGGTGCTGCCCAGGTGGGGGACACGTGCCCTCCCCCTGCCCCCCTCCCCAGTGGTGCTGTGCCCTCCAGCCTCTCACCTCAGCACCAGGAGAAGCAAAGCTCTTGGGGACTGCAGCAGCCTCGGGCTCCAACAAAACCCTGGACTTTATACTGCCCTTCAGCACTTCACCCGCCCCCTCCCAAACAACTTTACTTTCCAGGACTTGCTCTACCTGGCCCTGCAAAGTAAACATTTGCAAGTGCGTCCAGCCTGGCCTCACACCCACCAGCACCAACGCAGCTGAGCATCCCCCGGGGACAGCCCGGGGGCCACTGCAGCACCGAGGCAGAGCCAGCCCCCCAGGATGGTCCCGTGGGAGCTCTCTGGTCCTCGTGGCCACACTCTCCCTGCTTCAAGCATCCTCCCTGCCACATTCCCCGCAAGCCAGGCACATACACCATGGCAGAGCCCTGCTCTCCATCCCGGGGGACAACTCTGGGTACCCCCAGCTCCCGGGGAAAATTGATCTGCATTTGCAGGGTGCCGGCAGGTCCCTGGGGAGCCAATACCCAGATTTAACGTTTACAAGTGCAGCCGACAGAGGCAAACAGCCTGTAAACGATTAACCCAGCCGGGCCGCTTCAAGGTCCCGCCGCCCAGCACCCTGCGCGGGACACGGCGACCCTGCCCCTCATGCTGGGCCCCCGGGTGGGCTCCAGGAGCCTGCACTGCACGCCATCCCCTGCGGGAGGGTGACAGTGGTGCCGCTGTGCCCCGCACGATGACGGCAGGGTGGCACCGTGGGGCGGCTGAGGGGAGACAAGCGGTGCCCCCCCAGCGGGGCGGGGGGCGGGGGGCAGCGAGGAACCGGGGGTGACGGGGGGTACGGGGCGGGTGGGGCCGCAATCTCGGCCTTCTGATAAAGCGCCGGCGGCTGGAGTCAGACAGACCCCGGCGGGCAGCGGGAGCTGTCGTATCTCGGCACCGCCCTGGCCCTGGGACACGCCGAGGACCGGGGGACCCTCACTGAGGGGCGTGACAAGGGCTGACGGGGGGCAGACTTGGGGGGCACCGTGGAAGAGGGGCAAGTGGGGCCAGGTGGGGGATCAGGCTGGGTGGGGGCACTGGGGGTCTCGACGAAGACGGACTACTGGGCACTGGAAGATTTATGGGATGGATTAAGTGGAACGAAGCACAAGAGGGTCTCCGGGAGGCAGGATGGGGCGGGGGGGGGGAACACTAGGAGCCAGGCTAGGGGTCACTATGGTCCTCCAGGGGGCTACTGGAAGCCAAGCTGGGGGGCAGTGGGGGCACTGGGAGCCAGGCGAGGGTCACTGGGGGGTCCGGGCGGTGCGGGAGGGGGGTGGTCGCCGGCGGTGGCACCAGGTGGCGCTGCGGGGCCGGGCCGGGCCGGGGGCGAAGGGGCCGCACCTGCCCGCGGCAGCACCCGGCGGGGCTCAGCGTGGGAATCCGTCTGAAAATATAACAAAAATAGAGAAAGAAAACAGAAAAGAGGGAGGAGGAGCCCGGGGCGTTGCTGTCCAGCCCGGTGCCCGCCCGTTGTCCTGACCGGGAGTTGGTGGGAGGACCAGGGGCCCCAGGGATGGGCGGGGGCACGGGCAGCCCCCTCGGCTGTTTGCCGTAGGTAAAGCTGTTGTGCAAGAGCCAGCGCTCAGGAACAGGCTGTACTAAGTAGCCGTGGCCGGCGCTTCCTCCAGTACGCAGAAAACTACCCCATCCACGACCACGCGGACCAGAAACGCTCTCTTTGTTAGTGACGTTAATCGTGAACATAATTAGGCGTCTGAAGTTGCAGCGAAGAGGTCAAAGACGTGGGCACATCGAACACAGACGAGCTGATGAGATGGGTAGGACTGAGCCAACATCCGGATGGCGGGACCGAGGTGACGCAGACGCTGGCACACTGCTGGGGTCAGAGATCTTGCAGCCCAGCAGTGTGCACTGGTATGATGGAGGAAATCAAGCTCAGCCATCACTGAAACACCTCTGCTGTCAGGAGGAAAAGAGCAGGCTTTCAGACTACCCTTTCCCCAACCATCCTACCCCAGGAAGGGTTGGCCCTATGAATAGCTCAGCCTCATCACTGGGTGACCACTGCAGTCCAGAGGCCTCTGGGCTTCCAGGCTTGGACTGACAGCAGCACAGGCATCCCTGGATCCAGGCTGCTGCTCTCGGAGAGACAAACCCCTCTGGTCTGAGTCAACTGCCAGGAAGGTCATTGGCAGTGGGTGAGCACAGAAATCCTTTGTGCTGCTGCAGCACAGGGCAGAGGGGTTGCAGTATAGACGTAACAGCTTGTCCTGACTGCCTGTGAGTCTGCTGTCCTGTGTCCTGGGTGCATCAGGGGTGAGGGGAATAGGACCAGTGATGCTACTGTGCAGAGCAGCATCCTTGCCCTCCTGCTGACTGTAGATCCTGGAGCAGCCAGGGTCATTCATCCTCTCCCCATACCAGGGACACCTTTGCAGTTGAGTTCTCTTACTTCTCTTTGCAGCACTAAACATGTCCCCTGAAGCAGAGGATGTCCCACAATTGTCACACGGATGTTAACCGCACACACCCTCTGGGATACCAGCGTCCCTTGGGCTTTGCCAGGTCTCCAAAGAAAAGCTCTCGATGGTCAAGGACACCCTAGATAGATGGCAGCCTCGGGACTTTTGCAAAGGCAAACATAATAGCAACCCGTGTTGTCTGTCACCAGCTTGCCCTGGGGTCCCAGCTGGGTTGGCCGTGCTGGCACGTGTGGTTGCAGACAGCAGGGGCCGTGCAAGGATGAGGAGGGGGGACAGAAGGGCAGAGCAAACCCCTAATATGGGGCAGAAAGGGATCACCCCTTCAAAAGGGCACTAGGCACCGCAGAATGGGCAGCTGGTGGTGTCACCAGGATGGGCCTCTGGCCACCAGGCAGGGCTGACCCCGCTGCTCACCCCGCAGCAAGGTGGCTGCTGTTGGAGCTGTGCTGTGGAGCACCTGCATTTCCATGGAAACCTGCTGCTGTGGCCTGATGTTGGGCACTAAACAGGGGCAATGGAGGGCCTCGGTCTTGCAGTCCTGGGGCTGCTGGGTGGGTTGGACAGGAGGGATCAGTGGTTGGGGCAACTCTGAATGGGGCTGTGGGTCACGGTTCAGGGTGGTTCACAGGTGGGCAGTTTCCTTCACCCAGAGAGAAGGAGAAACTCTGTCTATTGGCATGAAAAAGCCCGAGGGAAGGCATTCCAGTGCCCTGGGCAAGAGTCCCCTCAGCCCATTGGAGTCCTACTGTGGCTTGGCTCTATTGCAACCTGTCCCAGGCATTCCACAGCATCCCTGCCCCTGACAGCACAGCACAGCTCAGCACTGCATGCTGCCTGCCTCTGGCACCTTTCCCACACTCTCCATCTGCCCCATGGCAAGGGGACCTGCCTCCATCCCAGACTAGTGCCCCCAGGCCATGCCCACGCTGCTGCACCTCCAGCATGCAGGGCACAGGGTGGCAGGGGGTGTGGGACCACCATGATGGGCAGCACCAGTGGTTGAAGGGGGGTCCAGCACAGGGTGTGGAGCACAGTGCTGATCAGGGTGATGTGCCAGTGGTGCAGCAGCTGCCAGGGTACCCCAGGAGAGCAGGGCAGAGCCTCCCATTCAGCTCCCTGCACAGTCCATTCCCTCTGCCTGCCCCCGGCTCTCCTGGCTCGGGGCCTCGGCCCTGGCTCCACTCTCTGCACGCTGCCTGGAGGCGATTCAGCCCCCCCTCCCCGTGCCTGGTTTCCATGGCAACTCCAGTTGAAATTACATTAAAAAGAAATGAAACCAGCAGCTTTTCTGTTTGGCAAGTAGGGGGAGGGGAGCTCAGCTGGGAAAGACTGGGGAGGGGGTGCGAAGGTTGGAGGGAGGGGGCTGTGGCACAGATGAGATCCCACACGGGGTCCCAGTGCTGGGGGTGGGCACAGCAGAGCAGGGGCACGTGGGGACACCGTCTCACTGTGGCACTTGGTGTTGGCAGTTCTGGATCGTTTGGTGCTGGCTTAATGTGTGCTGCTCTGAGGGTCCAGTGCCCCGACACGGTGAGGTGATACCGGGATCCACCTGCTGCCTCTGTGGGGTCAGTGCCAGGGACATGGAGACCATCCAGACCCTCTGCCAGCAGGCACAGCCATGGCTGGGATGGCTCTAAGCCAGCATAGGGTACCCCACCCAGCCTGGGAGTCCCTGGCCCCTGCACGCTCCAAGAAGAGGCGAGACACACCGCTATTAAAAATATCACTTCTGTTTTATTTGGAATTTGTTACTCTGCGCGGGTGACAGGGTATAAATACATTCTCCAACGAGCATCCTCACCCTCAGCCCCATGTGGGGCGGGGGCCAGGGCAGGGTGCAGGGCTGTGGGTGCGCTGACCCCAGGCAGCAGGGCCAGCAGGGCCAGCAGGGCCATCGATGCGCTGGCCCCGGGCAGCAGGGCCAGCAGGGCCAGCCGGCACCGGTGCGTCACGGCCGCCAGCATGGGCAGCGTCTGCCAGCCGGACCGTCTTGCACAGGGACGAGGTAAGGTGTCCCCACAAGGACCTGTCCCTTCCTCCTGCCTCCCCAGGCCCCAGGTGCCAGTGCTCATCATGGGGAGCTGAGACTGGGGTGCCCCACGTGGGATCCCGTGCTGCTTCTTCTCCATGCCCAGCTGCACCAAAGCCACTTGCCTTGAGCCACACGTGGCTCAGTGGCCACACCAGCCCAGCGGGTGCTCCAGCCCTGGCACAGGTGCTTCCAGCACCACGCAGGCTGCATCACCCCCAGAGTCCCTGCCCAGGCGTCTATCCCAGCTGCACGTCCTGGATGCCAGAGCTGGGGTCACCCCACAGTGGGGTAAAGGCCCCAGTGGAAGTAACATGGGAGGCAGAGTCGAGGTTGGAAAGCAGCTCACTCTGCTCCTGTCACCCCACCCCTGACACAGGCTGCAAACCGCTGCTTTTGGGCAGCGGCACGGGCAGGGAGGGCACAGCACGGCCCTGGGGCGGTGGCGAAGGGAGGTGGGATGCTCCTGGGGGAGCAGGGCAGGGTGGGGTGCCTGGGGGGGTGCTCCTGGGTTCGTGGGGGCGAACAGACGTTGCTCAGAGCAGGTGATGCCCACGCGGGGCGGCGGGTGGCACTTGGCCGGTGGTGGCAGTGGAGGGACCGGGGCGGGGGTGCTCGCAGGCAGGCCGTTGGATAGGCTATTTGGCTGAGATAGGTGGGCACGGGTGACAGAGGAGGGAGAATATCAAAAAATACAAAAGAGCGCGGCCCCACAGCGCAGGAGGCACTGCCCTGCCTGGTGCCCACCCACGGCAGGCGGGCGCCGTGGGGGGCCGGCACCGTGCGCACACGCTGGCTTCTAACTGGCTTTTTATTTTATATCAAGAACACTTGGTTTTAAAATCTTTACAAAGGACAAAACGCGGCGACTCCGTTAGTGTGTAAAGAACTAAAGATCTGCTTTAAAAAACGTCTCTGCAAAGAGAAATGACTGACACAAAAGAGATTCTCTGCAGCGCAAAGAGGGGCAGAGGTGCCAAGTCTCCAGCCCAGGGCCCCACTCCCAGGGTCCCCGAGCCCCGGCACCGGCCCCAGCGCCCGCAACCAGCACGTGGCCAGGTCCCCGGACCCCGCCCGTTCCCTCTGCCTATAGCACCATGGCCCAGGGCCACTTCTCAGCACAGTGAAGGAGCCTTTTCCAGGGCTGCCAAGCTGCCTGGGGATGCCTGGGCACTGGCTGAGAGGGATGCCCAGTCCCGCTCCTCGTCAGTCCCAGGGTGCTCAGTGGGCTCAGCGCTGGGGATGTGATCGCCCCGCTGGGAGGCACAGCCACAGCACGGGCAGCCCCATGGCCATTGACAGTGGGGTACCCCCGCCCGCCTGCACGGGTGCAGGGTTTACACCGCGTCCCCCCTGCACCCCACTGGCGTCCCGGGGCAACCCGCGGGGCCCTGAGGCCGGGAGAGTCAAAGCACTTCTCAAGAGTTAGATAGGAACAAAAGAAAGCGCCGGGGCCACACCGGGACCCTGCAGGTCTCTGGGCTGGGAGCTGCCCCGTCCGTGGGTGCTGCCCCTCCGCCGGGGGCTCCGTGGGCCCTGCCGCTCCCTCTGCCAGTGTCTGCTGCGTGTGTGTGCGTGCGTGCATGCGTGTGCGCCGGCGGCGGGCAGCTATACCCTGGTGGTGGAGTGTGAGTGCGGGAGCCCCGTGCTGTTGAAGCCGGCGGTGAAGGTGTTGTAGGGGTGCAGGGTCTGCAGCCCCACCAGCGAGTTGGGGATCATGGTGATGGTGTTGGGGGTCATGAGCGGGATGTCGTCCGGCGAGCGGCGCAAGGTGAGGGTGTAGTCGGGCAGAGCGGCCAGGCGCAGGGTGTCGTGGGACGGCACGGCTTCGCACTCGTGGTGCCCCTGGCTCACCTGCAAGGAGGGCATCTCCTCATCAGGCGCGTGGGCGATGTCGTTGGCGGCGCCACGCTGGGGGCTGGGCTGCCGGTGCGTGTCCTGCCGGCGCTTGTCCTTGCGGTAGTAGAGGGCGGCGAAGGCCAGCACGTTGAGGAAGAGGAGGGAGGCGCCCACGGCGATGGTGACGCTCAGTTCGGTGGAGTAGTCGCGGGGGCTCTCGAGCAGGGTGCCCGCCTCTTGCTCTGGGCTCCACTTCTCCTTCCCGTTCTCGCTGTTGTAGGCGGGGGAGATGGCGGGGCGCTTGGTGGTCCAGATCTTGCTGTTGGGCCGGCGGGTGATGTGGGAGTTCTGCGTGGTGTCGGGTGGCGGCACTTTGGTGGTGGTGGAGGTGTAGTGGAACATGTCGTGCAGGTTGTACAGGTGGGGAACCAGGTGCTTCCAGAAAGCCACCTTGGTGGCCCGGTAGTGGTCGCGCACCCGTGGCTTCAGCCCGATGTGCAGGTACAGCTGGTCGCGGGGGTTGTACTTGGACCAGGCCACCTCCTCAAACCGGTTGGCCTTGGTGTGGATGAACTTGGTGTCCTGGGGGACGGGCTTGTTGGGGTCCCTGTGAAACACAGGCAGAACAGAACTAGCACTGGGAAAAGCCAAAGCAGCAAGGAGGGAGAGCTGGGTGCAGAGATGGAGGCTGGGGACACCTTTGCCAGTGGTGGCACAGAAGTGCTGGCAAAAGGTCCTGCACGTCTGGGCAGCACCCCAACCCTGGGTCAAGCCTCACACATGATAACCACAGCCAACGAACCTCCCCACTCCCACTTTCAGCTGGGTCCTGTCCCAGGGGCTGCCCATGCTCTAAGCTTCTTGCTTTGTGGTTGAGGCCATGACCCCAGTGAAGGTGCAGCACACAGACCTCTGGGCTCGGGGGGCTCAGTGTCCCACACCAGGCATTACACCCCCCCCACCACCACAGTGTGGTCTTGAGGGGTACAGCTGCAGTGAGTGCAGCCCCCTCAAGGCACAGCATCCATTCCCACTCACCCTGTCTTGGCAAAGTTGGTCCAGTAGGTCATCACCACGGCGCTGAGCATGACGTCGTTCTTGGAGAAGTTGCAGGGAAAGAGGTCTGTGGGGCCAATCATGGGGATCCCAAACACGTAAGGCACCTCATCCCCGTGGGCTGCGTCGGACCACGCAGGTTTCATCAGGCTCTGGCAGTGGTGGTAGAAGGCGTAGAAGTAGGTGGGGGAACCGTAGCGGGCGTGCAGGTCAGCTGTCACCACTGATGGCTCTACCCACTGGTGGTCAGTGAAGAGGGCCACCAGCGTCTTGCGACGTGTCTCAGGGTTGTCCCGGTCGGCCCAGTCTGTGTACATGAACTTGATGGTCTCCCTCAAGGTGTCCTTGCCCTCGGGGTATCCGTACAGGTTGTCCACAAAGTTGGAGACCGAGTAGTCAAAGTCACTGCCCGAGACGCCATCCTCAGGGTCCACCACACCCTCCACGAACTTCAGCCCCTCACCCTGGTTGACCCCCAGCATGATATCATAGTTGAGGAACTCGCCCTGCTCCATCAGGATCTCTGGGTCATCCGGGATCACATCCCCATCAATGACCGGCCCGAAGGCCACGTGGTAGCGAGCCGGCTGGATGTCTTGCTCTACCAGCTCCTTGGCACTCTTCTGCCGCAGACAGTCCACCATGTCCACCGTGTCCAGCACGTTGCAGCCCACCTTGTCGGCCAGCATGCTGGTGTACTTCACGGGCTGGTAGTTCACCGCCCAGCTGGAGAGCGCGGAGCCGCTCTGGATGATGGCCCTCTGGAAGAGACCTGCAATACAGGCAAGGAGCGGAGGAAGCTCTCAGCAGGGTTCTGACACCCCAGCACTGCAGTGCAGGATGCAGGCATTGATGCTCTTCTATCCCTGCAAGGACCCAGCGCTTCAGCCCACACCTGGCCTTGACCCGGGCTTTGCTGCGGAGCCAGGCTCACACAGGGGTTCAGCTCAGGGCCACTGCGAGGGTGGCAGGGTGACAGCTGGGCATGCAGGTGGGTGGGTGCTCCTGGCAGCAAGCAAGGGCTGCTGTGCTCCCTGAGGATCCCATTGCAGGGGATGGCCCAGCATCTTTCTGTCCTGCTGGGGAAGGAAGAGGGGCCATGGCTGCATCACAGCCTGGCCTTGCCGAGCAGCCCGTGCTGCCCCAGCCACCCCAAGGACGTGTTGCTCAAGCCCCCAAGGGGCACACACTGTCCCTGGCTCAGCACCATCCTCCAGCCCAGGTTGGCATCTGCTTCACTGAGCAGCCAGGCTGCGGGCTGGCAGCAGTGGGAGGGTTAATGCCTGCTCGAGGGCACTTAACCCTGCGTGTCCCACCCCAGTGCTTTGTCAGAGTCCCCCTCCACCCCCTCCCTGCTGCTTCCTGCCCAGCTGGGGCTGCTCAGTGCCAATCCGGCCCTGCAGGAGCACTCTGCCAGATGCACAAAGAGGGCCTTTCTGCCACCAGGAACACAGAGGGAGTGGACTTTCGCCCTGGAAAACGAGGCCACAAAGGCCCTGGCCCAGGCAGAGAAATGCGTGGCTTCGCTCCAGTCCCATGTCAATGGTGCTTGTGCTCAGAATACAAAGGGTGGTGAGGAAGCAGAGCCTCCGGGGCTGGGAAAGGCAGCCAGTCCGGGGTGCACCCCAGGGTCCCTGCTCTCCTCTGCACCCCGAGTGCTGCCTGCACCCCTGCCGGACCCCAGCACTTGATCACCACGAGGGACTGTTTCAGGTGATCCCTGAATGGTGCTGGCACAACACTGGGGCTGCCCCCCAGTGCCCTGAAGTGCAGAGAACCCCTCTGTTCGCTGCACTCTCTCTCACAGGGCTGTGCTGCTCTGCAGGGAAACATGCACCTTCCCGCAGCAGAAGTGTTCAGAGGCTCCTGGCTCCTGGCCACCATGTCCATAGCTCTTGTCTGCACGCACAGTCCTCGCTCTGCCAAGTACCTGACGTACAGTCCCATGCACTGGGACAAAGACAAGTCACAAGCTCTGTTTGTCACCTCCCAGTGCCCTAGAAAGCCATACCCAGCCTACAGGCTGGAGACTGGCCATGGGTTTGCTTGCTCTGCGCCATCATCCACGTGCCAAGGAGCCAGGATGGGGTATCCTGGCTCCCAGGAGATGCTGTCCCAGCAGCAGCCATATGGTCCCTGCCAGCAGCATCACTTCCCAGACAGACCCACTAGGCTGGGCCCTGCCCCTGCCTGGGGAAGTATGGGGCAGCTGATGTCACCAGCAGCTGGTCATCTCCCTGATGGACCCTCCATGCCAGCACCTGGCTGAAGCCCCACAAGCACTGCAGGGAGGCATCACACCCTGCAGTTCACCCTGGACCTCTCCGGCCTGCTGGGGCCCAGGCAAGGTGATGGAGCTCTGCACTTTGGTCAGTGGTGTGGAATCCACCTGCCATCCACCTGGCAGGGGAGATGTGGATCTCCCAGGCAGCCAGACACACTGAGTAATGTACCAAGCCTCCAGTGTCTGCTCTTGCAGCACCTGGCAAAGCAGGCACGAATCATCAACTTCATTAATTGCTTTTGATCACTGTGAGTTTCATTTTGATGCAATAAAACCAAACCCACCTGGTCTGCAGACTGCCTCTTAGCACGACTCCCCTGCTGTGTTCCAGAGCCAGCTACCTGTCCCTGGGGAGATGGGTGCTCTGGCACAGAGGGTTTTTGAGGTCATTTTATGGCCATTTGGTTTTATGAGACACTGGCTGCAGCACTGAGCACTCCCCTCACACCTCGCAGCATTTACAGCTCCCCTGCCACATCTGCGAGGGTGCTGAGCACACAGCACCACTGAGACTCAGGGGAGACCACACCACAGGCATTGGGGCTGGATGGGGCAGCAAAGGATACAGGGTTTAGTGGCAGATACAGGGTTTAGGCATTCAGGTGCAGGGTTTAGTGGCAGAAAGTGTAGCGTCACCCGGGAAGTGCCGTACTGACAGGACTATTTTTTGTGGCTGGAAAGTCACAGGGAGCAACCCCTCCAATCCACCCTCAGCCTCCCTCCATGCTGCTCCCTCCATCCTGGGCCACCTGGGCAGCCCAGTCCTGCACTCCTGTGATGGAAAGGAGCACCCTAAGAAGCGCTGTGAATGCATCACACGCAGTGTTCCCCCACCAGCCTTTCACGCTCAATATGGGCAGAGAAAACACTTTTTCTTTCTGTGGCAGCTTTCAGCCTGCAAAAGACTTCCCATCATCAGCCATCAGCCCTGCTGAGGTTCCAGAGGTCTCCATTCCCGTGTGATAGCCAGGCTGTTGAGCAGGGCTGCAGCTCTTCACGTCAGCTTCAAGTGCAATTTGGTTTGTGTCTCTCAGGTGCAGACTCACCCCCCATCTCCTGCCCACACGTGTCCCCTTCTCCCTTGCATTACACCTGGGGACACAGCACTGGAGGGGACTGCACCCTCATACAAAGCCTGTGAGCATGTCCTTGGCAGGCTGGTCCCCTGTGGACCATATTCAGTTCAGGCTTTGCTCCTACAGTTTCCTTTAGGAAGTTTATGGAGAACCTCTAGTCCCACGATTAATTTTTTTTCCCCCAGTGCTTGATGTAAATGTCTTTGCAGGTGGTTTATGCGTGCCTTTGCTCTTATTCCAACAAAATCTTTTAGCATAAATAATTCCTTACTTTATCTAGAGTAAACACTCTGCTATATTTACAGATATCAATCATTCTACTTCCACCTGTGTTTTGCCAGTCGCAGCACTTCCAGCTCTCCCAGTCTCACAACATGGGGCCCTCCATCCCTCTCCAGGCTCAGGTCTGTTATCCCTTCTATTCCAGCGTGAATGCCTTTCCTAGCACTAAGGTCCATGTTCCTGGTGCCCTGCATGATGCCCTAACCCCCCTCCACATCTGCCTGGGTCAGGCTCTCACCACCAACTAATCAGAAAGCAGCCCCAACTTTGTCAGGTTGGGCAGCAGGACCTGGGTGGGCTCCCATCAGCAGGGTGTTTGCTCACAGTTGCAGCATCCTCAGGCACAGCTGGCACCTACCTTCCGAGTGGTGGGAGAGGGTGAGCAGGCTGACACAGGAGGCACCGATGCCGGAGCCGAAGACCGTGATCCGCAAGGGATCTCCCCCAAAGAAGGCGATGTTCTCGCTGACCCAGCGCAGCGCCTGTATCTGGTCCAGCAGCCCATAATTGCCCTTGGCAGCCTGGTCCCCTGTGCTCAGGAACCCTGAGGGCCAAGGGGAGCCCAGTTAGGGATGAGGAAGTAGGGAATGTCCTGACCTTCCACCCCCCTTCCCCAGGCATAGGGGAGCTTCCATGGGACCCTGTACCACCACACCATGAGACCCCACTACCAGGAGAGTTCTAAGCTGGAGCAGGGACACCTCGAGCTCCAGCCACCCTCTGCACAGCAAAGAGGGGCAAAAGGCTGAGTGCAGCTGCAAGCCCTGGGGAGCCTCTTCAGCCAACAGTGACAGGGTAAAGGGAACAAAGCTCTGTCCTACCCATACCACCACCTGTGCTAAGGATGGCTCAAGACAGCTCACACATGCTCCAGGGAAAGCTGGGAAAGCATCAGTGGCTGCAGGAAGGCCGAGTGCCTGCACAGCCAATGCTTTCCATGGAGCAGCGTGGACTGGAGGAGGCTCTATAAATGTAAGGAGGTGGGCTGGGCAGAGAGGAACTGACTGCAGCTTAAAATACAAAGGCTCTCAGTGAGGAAGAAGCTGAGAAGCTTTCAATAGCAAAGGGAACACCCAAGATAAGTTATCACCGTTTTTGTTTGCTTTGACTCTAAGCAGGAAGCCAAAACCATGGTCCTGATTTAAAATGCAGGCAGGTAATCCCAGCACACAGGGAGTGGCCCCAGAGCAGTGCTTGGCACTTCGGGGTGGTCTGGCTGGGTGTGGTGCACCACTTCAATGGAAACGATGAAGGCACCACTTAACTCTAATGTCATGTTGTGACTCACATCCCATAAGGTTTGCACCTTAAAGGTGCAAACCTTTAAGTTACCCTTCATCTTAAAGGACCATTTTTTAATTCAAAAGGTCTTAAATAGGTTTATTTTTACTGAAAAGCTTATTTTCTACCAGGTAACTGTCATCTTCTTCAAGAAACTCTGGGGTCTGAAGGCTATCAGAGGAATGTGCCCTCTCAGGTACCAGCTGGGAGCCCAGCTGCCAAGGGAGAGCACCATTCTAGGCTGGATGGCAGTAAGAGAGCCAGCCCTGACAGCAGCTCGGCTGGGAAGAAACTTTTCCCAAACCTTTGTGCTCTTTGTTCTCCCTGCCGCTAAGGGAAGCAGCAGTGTGCTCCACACAAGCCTCCTGTGCCTCAGCCCCTGGGGGTTTCTGCTGCAGCAAGCAGGGGACTGCACTGCCTTTTGACCCTGTGTCCTCATGCTGCCTCTCTAGGTCACCAGGGCTTCTGGAAATGGGACTGCCACCCTCCTCTGCTTGGCACCTGACACCCTTCTGTGGTCCCCTCTGCAGGTGGCCAGGCCATGGTGGGTGGCTGAGGGGGTCCCAGCAGCTCAGCCGGTTTGGAGAACAGTCCGTGCCCAGGGAGGGAGAGCCGCCAGGTCCCCAGGACAGCCAGGCAGTACCCGCTGGCACCTCACGGCTCTGAGCCCTCTCAGGAGGAGATGCTGGGTAAACACATTTATTATTCATTTAACCACAAACCAATATTTGCTTTCAGTTGAGCCAGTTTGTGTAAATGAGCCGGGGGGAGGGTGGCTGGTGCCAGGACCCAGACTGCGCTGTGGCCGCGCGCTGGGGGTTCTGCCACGTGGCACCGCGCTCGGCAGCCGGGGCGAAAGGCAGGGGCAGTGCCCACAGCGCATCCCGCCGGCCCCACGCCCCCTCTGCCCCCTGCCCGGCTGGTTCAAGCCCGGTCAGACACAGACACAGGGGCTGTCCCACTGCCCGGCTGCGCTGACGGCACAGCCCGCGCCGGGCAGCTCATACCGAGCACTCCAACGCGGTAGTTCAGGGTGATGACAATCACGTTGCCGTAGCTGGCCAGGATGCTGCCGTCTATCATGTTCCCCGTGCCCTCCATGTACGAGCCACCGTGGATGTACACCATCACCGGCTTGGCCCCGCTGTCCCGGATGTCTGGAAGGAGAGGAGGTTAAACACAGGACCCCAGCGACCGCCGCAGCACCCTGCCCGACAGGCAGACCGAGGACAAGGGCAATGCCAGCTGCCAGGACCAGGGAGGGGGCTTAGGAGCCAAAGCCAGAGCTCTCCTGTTGGGCCTCCAAAGCCAACCACCACTAAACCAACCCCACCAACCCTTCTCCGGGTGGCGGCAGTCGCTGCACCGTCCCCACACCGCTGTCCCCTCGGGGGTCTGGGCACAGTGTGGGAGGGGTGCTGGCTGGACCCCGCTGCTCTTCCCCAGAGCTGGGCTCTGGCATCGTGCGGGAGCCAGACCAGCTCTGTTGCGGGTGGGAGTTGCAGGGTCCAGCCCTGGGATGCAGCCCCACGTCCTGCCTTTGGCTGGACCCAAGTGCTCCGGGAGTCCTGGAAGCTGGCATTGTGGGGGGGGGCAGGGATGGGGGTGTGCAGGACCTAGAAGGTGGGAGGGCCACTCACGTGTGCTCCAATGTCTTACTCTCTCAACCCCCCTTCCCATCCCCCTAGGAAGGCAGAGACCTGCCTGCTGTCTGGATGTGAACCCATGGCACCCCAGTGCCCAGACACAGACATGGTGATGAGGCAGACGGGGTATGCACGTGTGTGTGTCAGGGAGGTGAGCACAGCATCTGGACAAGGACAGGGATGAGGCATGGAGTGAGGATGGGGAACAGGACCCCGAGGGCCACAGAGGAAGGACTGCAGGAGCCTAGGGGACAGGGAGCAGCCACGCTCCCTCTCTCAACTGGTCCTGTCCAGGGGACATCCTGCCCCTTCTGCCTCACTGGCCGATGATCCCTCATGGAGTCACAACCATCCACGGGGGAATAACACCCACGCTTGGGCTCCTGGTGCATCTCAGAGGAGGTGGTTGCACCCGTCATGGTCACAGTGCCAGCTCCCAAATGCCTGTGCTGCCCAGCCCTGTGCTGGGCTGGCGAGCCAGCACTGCTGGACTTTGCCCTCCCTCGTGTTCTCCCGCACCCAGTACCTCGCTCGGGTGGGCTGGCAGTGCCTTCTTGGCCCCAGTTGCCCCTGCCAGCTGCTGCTCCCTGCCTGCCTCCCTGGCTGCCAGCCCCCCACAGTCCAGGCAGGGTTGCACTCCTGGGGCACAGCCACATTGTCCCAGTGCTGATGCCCAGCTGGGGTGGACGTGCTCTCTCACACCCACCTAACCCCTGCCCACGGCCACTCCTTCCTGTGGCTTGCCCATTGCAGGGGGGCTGCAGGCCAGGCTGATGGCTACCTGTGGCCATCCTCACCTCCATGGCTGCCTAAAGGTGGCCTCCCTTCTGCACAGAAAACCTTCTCCCTCCAGGAGAATGAGGCTACGCCAAAAGCAAAACCTGTGCTGGCTCTTTTCCTATCGCCAGGAGGTAGCCAGACAAATGCACAGACCAGAGGAGCAAAAAATGCTGGCAGCTCCTCCAGGACAGACATTGCCTGTGTGGCAGAGCTACATCAGGACAACTTTTTCCAGGGCCACCTGCTTGAAATGTGAAGGGCAGGAACATCAGTGCCATGTCTTCTCCCTGCTGCACGATCCCACTGACACACAAAGGGGCATCCTTGCAGCAGAATGTCAGCAACGTACAGAGGTGTACCAGGGAATAAACAGCTCCTAATTGCTGCAGCACAGTTTGGTGTGTTGGATTTAGCACAGTCAAGTCACTTAGGCTGGATGCCAGTTTACACCCTGGTACAAGAGATGCTGGGGCACAGGTTAGAGGGAGTAAACAACAGGGGTTTAGTACTGCCAAGGAAAAAGTTTTTCATCTATTTCCCAGACCCTAAATGCCATCTGCCAGGCTGTGTTCTAGCTGCCCTGGGCCTTCTGCACACCCTGAGGTTTTTCTGTCCTCAGCACATTCGAGCTGCACCCTGGCCAACCCTTCCTCCTACCTCTCCTCACATCTCTGCAGCCAAACACACACTCCGTGCCCTGCAGAAGAACGACCCCATTTTACTAAAAATAGCTTATCCTGCAGCTTGCTCAGCCCTGGTGTACATCTAGAATCACATCTGCTTGAAAGCCCACTTGCTCTGCCTTGGCTGGTGCTGATGCTTTGGTGGAAGAAAGACCTTGCTTCCACTGGGTGAGAAAGTAGAGGAATTAACAGAAACCAAGTGGACCTTGGGTCTCCTGGGCACGGCCAGATAGCCTTTGGGTGCCAAGGGTTCAGGCTGCCAGCACAGCCACCCTGGGCTGGTGCCTGTGGCGGGGCCAGGCAAGAGTGGAGGGGGAGTTGTTGGCTCCCAGCTGCTCTTATCCAAACGGCTCCGGGGGGGAATGAGGCTGGAGGTGGGATGTGACCGGGCTCAGGGTGAAATGGGCCCAGGTGCCCGCGGGCTCCTCTCCTCCCAAGCTGCCATGCTTCCTCCCTGCACCTCGCTCAAACTGAGCAGGAGCAAACTTCTCCTAAGAAGGCAGAAAAAAAAACCCAAAACCCCATGAGCTTTTCCCCCACCCTCAGGAGGAGGGGAAGGTCCTGGGTGCCCTGCACAGCCGGCCAGCCTGCCCCCCACCCCGCGCAGCTGCCTGGCACGGCAGACAGACACACACAGGGCTCCCTGGGGATGGCAGCGGATGGCGGGCACAACGGAGCTGCTTTGCGTGTCATGCAGTGGCAGCCTCGAGCACAGAAATACCTTCGTCTTCATCACCGTCATTATCCGCTAAGTCCTCGCCCTGTTTCTTAGCGCTGGCTCCTGGGGACCAAACACGAGGAGACAGAACAGAAAGGAAAACGAAAGGAAGTAAAAACGAAACAACGAAAAGAAAAAAAAAAAAGAAAGAAAGAAAAAAAAACACAACAGAAAAAAAAAAAAAAAAGAGAATTCAAAAATAGCATGATAGCAGAGACAGTGGGGCCAGGCCTGTGCCCCACGGCACTGCTGGCTACTCACACTGCACCTCTCCCAGAGCCAGGGCAGTGTAGGGCACGGGCAGGACTGCCCCGGGAGCTGCGCCAGGATGCCACTCCACCTGGACCCCTTCCCACATCCTCCCTGGGGAGGGCCAGGGTGGCAGGGGAGAGGTGAGTGGGGCTGTGGCAGTGTCAGCATTGATGGATCAGTCTCTCAAAGCACTTGCAGATCCTCCTACATCCCCTCAGCTCCCTGCTCCAGGCAAGGCTCCCTCTCCTACCACCCAGGTGCAAGCAGGAGCCCTGCTCCCAGCTCTGCTGCCACTGGGGACAACTGTCCTCTGTCACCAGCAGAGCTCACACGAAGGATTGCCCTGCATGGCCACTGACCACCAGGTAGGGTCCTGCCCATCACCCCCAGGTGGGGCATGGCCCCTTGTTGTGCCTGGCACAGCAGTGTCACCAACCACTGGTGCCACCAGAGGAGACCCCCAGAGCAGCTGCAGGGAGCCCTCATGACATGGGCTCCCCTGCTCTGCTCAGCTCCATCCTGCACCAGCTCCTTTCTTAAAAGACTCGTTGCCTGTTTCACTGAGGATTTCGAAGGCACCAACCAGCATGACCTGAGCACGGCAGAACCCTGAACACACTGCCTTCTGGAACATCCTGAGCACCTTCCATGGCGTGGCCAGCCCGGCAGCCCCAGCCTGGCACTGTGGAGCGCTGCTGGGGATGGTGTGCAGGGAGCGTGGCACTGCCCGAGCTCCGTGACACCAGTGGGAGCCAGGAGAGGTGTCCTGTGGGCTGGCAGGGAGCAAGGATGTTGCAGACCTGCACCAAAGCCCTGTTCCTGCGAAGGACTGCCTGTCCACGTGGGCACAAAGGGGAGTGGTGCCATCCCTGTGCCCTGGAGGACCGGATTTCAGGAAGGGGCTGTGCTCCCCTTATCCCCTCAGAGCTGCAGAGCAGCACCTGCAGTCCTCTGCTCCCTGATGCATGCAACAAAAATAGAGTTTCCCCAGGTGATGGTGAGCTCTGGGGTGACAACAGGGTTTCCCCCAGGCAGGACTACCCACACAGTACCTGTGCTGGCCAGTGACTCTCCCCTGAGATGCAGGGGAGCTCCAACATCCCTCCAAGTACCCGGCTGATCTGTCACCCGTGGGCACCATCAGCACCACAGCAAGGGTTTTGTACAGCCTGCAGTAAGGCTCCCACAGGCAAGGGACAGCCCTGTGGCTGCATGGAACTATGAGACTAAAAGCATAAAACTGGCCAGGAAGACAAAATCAAGGAGTTGTCCTCACTGTCACTCTGGGAGTGGCATTCTGAGGGTGACACGGGATGGGGATAACAGAGATGGCAGCCTGGAGTGGGACAGTATTTGAATTTAAAAGGAATCTGTGATGGGGGAGTAAGAGGTCTGAAATGGCCATGAGGCAGCTCCACTGGGCTTGCAGGATGCCTTCAGCAGCCATGGCCTGCTGGAGAAAGTCTGGAGAAGCAGCAACAGGAAATCTAGAAAAATCCAGAAGGCACGAAAAGTTTGCAGAGGGCTGGGTCACAGGAATGTCAGGAGCAGAGGCATGATGGGAGCTACAGTAGTATCCCAACATGTAAAAGGCTACTGTGAGGTGGTGAGGTGGAAGAGCAAGTCCTTCTCTGCTGCACAAAGCACAGGCAGCTCTGAATTTACATGGAGTAGAATGAGATGAAAACCTTCCTGTCAGAAAGGAGAGGAAAGTTCTAGAAGAGGCGATCTGGGGAGGTGTTTTAAGACCAGGTGAGACACACTGCCAGGAAGAGGATCAGCTGTCTCCTGTGCCATCCTGATCTTCTCCAACTCAGAGTTCACCTCCTGACCCACCCCCGCCGTGCTCCAGCCCTGCCTCCTCGCCTCCTGCTTCACTCCCTGAGCACCTCACATCATTCTCCTCTTTTCACGCAGCACCACCCCCCATCCCTGTCACCTCCTGCCCCAGCATCCTCCCCCCTCCTGCTGCCTCCTTCCCTCTCCCTGCCCAGCCCACCCCCAGCGTGCAGCCGCTCGGCCTCTTTGCAGGAGGCTGCAGGCTTGACCTGCTGTGTCTTCATTAGGAAGAGCTGCAAGCCCAGAAAGCACTTAAATGACGAAGTACTCATGCAATATTTGCTAACCAGTGCTACGTGCCAACCTCTCGGTGCTGCTAAGGGATGGGGATTTTCCTCTAACGAAGACCACAGGCAGTGAGCCTTCATCCCACACTGTGCCTCAGAGATGGGGAGATGATCACAGGCAGCTGGAGATCACTTTCCACTGCCAAAGGCCCTGGTGCTGTTAAACCCCCTGCGAGCAGCCAGGCTGCAGCCCTCCAGCCTGGTCTCCTTTAGGGGGCAAAGGTCTCCATGAAGATGAGGGTGGAGGAATCAGCTATGAGGACCTGTCAGACTGTAAGAGGAGGCAGTGGACAACATCTCTGTGACCTGAGCAACTGTCCTGGCTGATCAGGGAGGGATCCAGCTGGAGACTGCTGCTGCAGAGCTTAGGGATGGCAGGGACAAGCCTAAAGCACCCTGAGCTTCAGGCGCCGCAGAAGAGGTGGCAGAAAGCAGCACTTGGGGAGCTGAGCAAAGCAAGAGCACAGTGATGCAGGCCAGGGCAGAGGGGAACAGCAGGGGAATGTGTGTGGCAGATGCAAAGCACGAGCCTTACCCATCAGCAGGGAGGTTCCAGGCTGGCTGGGGTTATGGCCAACACAGACTGTTGTGACCGAGTGGGCTGCAATATTCACCTCCAGCACAACCTACCAATGCCCCACAGCTCATGAGAGCAATCACAGCTTCACCTCCCTCACCCAACCCTTGCACTTTGCTCCAATATCTCCTTCCACTGTCTATTGACATGTTCAGGGACACCCATCCCAGGAGATCTTCCTCTGCACTAGCAAAGGCCACCATGCAGAGCCCTGCAGCACCTACTCTCATGGGGATGGGCTAAAACCTGTGGATTCACAGCTGGAAAAACCAAAAGGGCTTGTGGCTCATTCTCCTTACCCATCAAAAGCACCCTCCACTAGCCCAGTGTGAATGTCTGTTGCACCACTTCACTTTAAGCTGACTGCAAAGTGATGTTGTTCGGGCCGATAGGAAGGATGCATATGCTCTTATCTAAAGGCTCTAGGAAGATTTAAGTTCAAGTTCAGTAAAAAATAAAATCACTTCCCTCAAAACAGGGGCATCCATGCTGGATTTATGCTATCTTAAGTAAACCATGCCAACAGCACTGACACCAGTGCAAACAGGGATAAAGAAGGGTGAGGAGCTGAAGTCCTTGGAGGCTTCATTCTCAGTGTGGTGTGGATAACAGAAGGGCAGGAGCCTGAGCTGTCATCTTTCCAGATCCAAAAGTCTGTTCAGGGTGCCTGTAGGCAGCTCCAGCACCCTCTCCTCCATGCAAGTGGGGCACCCACTCCCACAAAACAGCCACGATGCCTCAGGGAGCAGGAGCTGTCTGATGGCTGCGTGCACCCAAAGGTGCACCTGCCTCTGGCTACACCACCTCAGCTGCTCCTCCAGGAGCGACAAGGAACAGGACCAAAACCGATGCAGCTGTTGAACTTGCTGCTGAACAACCCCACAGGAAGGGGTAACTCTGCTGGGATCTTCCAGCCAGCAACCCTTGCTCCAGGACTGCAGCACACCTGCCCAGCCCCTCCCTGTCCCGGAGTGATGCAGAGGAGTTATTTCCATCCTTGAGCGGACTCGGTAAAAGCACTGCATCTTCTCACGCTCTGCTGCCTCCACCAGCACAAACACCTACCCTCACCTTTGCAAATCACTCCCTGGAGTGGAAGCAGAGCACCAGGGCGGTGGTCTGCTCGCAGCCAGCTCTGCAGAGCACCAGGCTTTGAGGGGGCTGGGGAGAAGCTTCCAGCACAGGAGCACTGCAGGGAAGCCTCAGCCAGTACTCGGACAAATCCACTTCTTGGAGAGCAGCAGAGAAACCGAAGCATATCCTGAGCCCAGGAGCTGCTGGGAGCTCCAGCCACCCTCACATAGCAGAGGAAGACACTGGACCTGCACATTTGTCTCTGCAGCATCACAGGATCTGCACAGCCCCAGCCAGAGAGATTTGGGCAGTCACTAATGAAAAACCTGCTAAATGCAGGGCAGCCACATTTTTTTCCCCTCCAAAAATGACATCCACCTCCTCATGCCCTGCAGCAAGGCTTGCCCAGGCTGTTGGTGAAGGGAAGGGAAAATCATCCTGGCACCTGCCACAGCCAAGCACAGGCTGGAAGTATTGGCAGCACAAAGCAAAGGGCAGAGCTGCATTTTGCACATAGGTAGTGTATGGGGGGTGTGTGTACATGGTCTTTGGGTGGGCAGGGTTATTTTCACAGTAGAACCTGAGCTGAGCCTCAGGGCTGTCAGCTCCCCTGGCACCGTGCATGGCTAATTATTCTCAAAGCACCACTGGCCTGTCTTGCTCCCAGAGAAAGGACCAATGTGTATGGAGGAGATTGGCATTTAGGGAATTTCCAAGCAGGAAAGTACTGTGGGCAATTGGGCGGGGAAACAGGGATGTTTTTCTGTCCCAGAGATAAACTATGATGAATTCTCAGGCCTTCATCTGCTATGAAATACACTGAGCTTAGGGGTGGCAGAAATCATCCAGTGAGGTGGGAGCATTTTCAACCACCAAAATGCTGTTCTGCGAGAGGAGAGCTCATCACTGTTCATATGTTGCCTTAGAAATAATAATCATGAATATTCCAGAATGAGCCAATCTTCAAATTTTCAGCCCAAGGAAATCAGCACTGCAGGTACATCATCCTCACCCCAAACATTACTAACTCAAGACACACGATAAGAGGCGGAGGAGCCTCTGTGTCTCATCACAAGTGACTCAGTTAATTCAAGCCATTGGCCACCAGAGCCTGGCTGGAGCTGAAGAGCACTGCCAGTGTCTGGGTGCTTTAATTCCCAGCACATCACACCTGGATGCCCAAACGGCCTGCACGAGGGATCTGCTGGTCCATGAGTCAACAGAGCCCAGTGGGAGCAGTGGGAATGTCCCCCAGCAGCTCCCCAGGAGGTGACCAGAGGCAACTGCAGATGGGCTGCAGAGATACCCTGCCCGAGAGCAGAGAGCAGTGCCAGCGGGAAGGGAAAACCGCATGAGCACACCCGAGGTGTTTGGCCGTGCCTTGTACTGTCCCCTTCTCCAGCCATAACCTGGGCCCCGCTCCCCTGGCCCCGGCTATCGGGCTGGGGGTGGCGGGGTCTGCCAGCCCTGGCAGCCGGTGGGAGGGCCGGGAGAGGAAGCGCTTTGAAGTGGCTGGTGATCACTGGCACAGCCGGCTCCGGAGGCAGCGTGCGGAGACTCCCTAATGCGCCAGCCCTTTCAGGGGCAGCCTTGGCACTCAGAGAGATGGCGTGTGAATAGCCAGGACAGCAACAGGAAAAGCAAAGCAAAGAAACCAAACAACAGAACTGGGGGAAACGGCTGGAAGGAAAGCGCTCCCCAAACCTCCAAGCCCAGCTGCACCGGCCCCGACAAACCCAGGGGTGCAGGGAGGCAGAGGTCGGGATGCAGGGACCCTGCTGCTGCAGGATACCCAGGACAGCAGCCTGTGCCGGCCAGACACCCTGTACTGAGCCTTTCAGAAGAGCTTGGCTGCCTGACTGTCCCCACGTTCATCTTTGGGATGCACAGAGCAGCCAGCTCTCCCTGCCTGCAAGGGGGCTGTGTGGTGGGAGGGGTGAAGCACCGTGTCCGACATGGGGCCAAGCCAGCTCCCATCTGCACATCTCTACTCCCTGGTCCATGCCACTGGTTGGGAATACAGGATCACTTAGGGGCAATGGGGGAAGCTCAGTGGAGGCGAGGCAAAGCAGAGACGTGGCTGAAGTGGAGGAGCTTGGCTTACCACGGGTCAGCCAGGGCTCAGGGAGAATGCTGTGCCATGGGCTGGAGACCAAGTCCTCACTGGCAGGGCTGGCACGGGCATGGGGGTGTGAGCAGTGGGGAGCAGCCTTGGCAGGAACAAGGGCTGGGGCACAACATGGCATGACTTACACAACCAGGAGAGGTTTTATGTTTTTAACCAGGAAACTCTGGATGCAAAATGACTAGGGATGCAATCAGAGGGTGCATTTAAGTGCTACCTGCCATCAGAGGCTATCCCTCATACCCAGAGGCTGGGAGGCTGTTGGTGCCACTGGGATGAAGGTGGGAGGGCAGACTCAGCCCAGGAGGAGAAGCTGTTCTGAAAGGCCTGGAGCAACAGGAGCATCCCCATGACCTGACCCCAGACCTGTACTCCCAGCTGGCCGGAGCATCCGTGGGACTCCTCCCAGTGGGAAGCGGGGGGTGGCAGGGTGGGCTGCTTGGAGGGCCCACAGTCTGGGTGGTGGCACAGAGAGGTGCCAGAGGAGCGTGCTGCAGGCTGGGGGCCAGCCAGGCACCCCCTCACTCTCACTCTCTCTCTCTTTCCTCTCTGTGCCTCTCTGCCGGTCGGCTTGCTACATACCTCCTTTCCTACATATTTTCTTGTTGGGCTTTCGGGTGCATTCCTTGGAAATCCGTTTTACTGTAAAATGAATAAAAGACTACAAAATAACAGGAGGCTCCACTGGTGGGAGTGGGCATGCAATCACAACCACGCTGCTACCCCCCCGCCGCCCCCGGGACCGCGGGAGGTGGGGAGGGAGCGTCGCCATGGGAGGAAAACTCTGGGCCAGCCGTGCTGGGCGGGAAGGAAGGCACGATGCATTCCGTGGCCAAGGGCCCCAGAGGCACAGGAGTGGAGCCAGCCAGCCTGGGAGAAGCCACTGGCCTGCCAGGCTGCTCTGTTGTGCACAGCAGACCCACTGCGGGTCCCTTCCAGCCCGCTGCAAATCCCCGGGGGTTTCCTGTTGCGGTGAGGCTGGGGCGGGCACACGGGCAGGCGCTGCCTCCTCTGCCCTCTACTTACAGTTCAGGTGGGATCCCCTACAAAGGAAAAGGTTAGACAAGGAGGCACCCAGCACCGCTCAGCCTCACCCCAACGGGACCGTGCCCCACGGGTCCCCAGCACCCCAGGCTCATCGCTCTGCCACTGTCCCACCGGCGGGTGGAGGAGCAGCCAAGCGATGTGTCTGCCGGTGCCCCCCAACCTCCCATCCACACCAGGGCCCAGAAAAGGGCTCTGTGGTCCCTTTCTTGCCGGAGCATCTTCCCAGGGAGAGGCAGAGAGTGTTCCTCCCAGCCGCAGCCCGCGCCCACAACTAGCGCATGGACCTGGGGAGGGTGGGAAGCAGGGAGGAAGGACGAACTCGAACCAACTCAAGACAGAACCTGGCACTCGGCGCCTGGGGAGCACAAATCAGCTTGTCACTCTGTGGATCTGCGGTCAGAGAGTCGGATTCAGATTTAGCAATACAAGAGAGGAACCCGTGACGATGCCATGGAGGTGGAGGGGTGGGGCCGGGAGGCGTGGAGGAGCAGGAGCACGCGAGACAGAGATGGCAGCTGAGGGCAAGAGGGCAAGCTGCGTGGCCAGAGAAAGCTTTCCACAAACAGACAGCATGCTGCAGGGTCCACAACCACATGCTTCAAACACAACACCCAGGTGAGACCAACCACTGCTGGGGAGGGGTGGAGTGACCCCCCCCTCGCCCTCCTGCGGTCACCCCAGTGGGGACTCACCATCCTCCGTGGGGATGTAGATGTTGAGGTACAGACAGTCCTCGTTGGGGTCCTGGATGTACGTGGCCACGATATCCAAATTGGAGGTAAACCAGATGGGCAGCATGATCTCAGGAACAGCGTTGTGGATGTTCTGGGGGCAGACTGGTGAGAAGTGGGTAGCGTTCCTGATGCCCGACCAGGACGGTGGCGGCTCGGGGGGCATGAATCTCTTCTCCCCGACGGGGGGGGCGGCGTAAGGAACCCCCAGGTACTGGTCCACGGGCCCCAGAATCTCACTGGGCAATGGCACACGCACCCCTCGTAACTTCCCATAGTGTGTGTTGACAGTTGGCGAGTAGACCTGGCCCTCCATCTGCACAACCATCGAGGCGAGGCTCAGGACCCAGAGGGTGAGACGCAGGTCCCAGCTGGCCACCAGCTCAGGCACTTGGAGAACAGGGGGGAAGAGAGGGCTTCTCCAGAGTATCAGCCACATTGTCCGGGAGAAACAGCACCAACATCCAGGCCTGAAGCTCCTGGGGCGAGGGCTCAGGGCATCCCCATCACACCAAGCCTCCGACTTGCCCACCGGGAACACACGGACCAGGACAGCCAGGAGTCAGCCACACCTTCTGCTGCGAGAGTCGGGAGCAGGGATGCAGGGGGATGTGCCACTGGCTCCTCACAGCCTCCCAGCTGCCCGCTGCTGCCTGCCTGCCAATGGCCCAGCCTGGAGGTGACTGCTGATACTGTGGAGAGATGGAGGGAATTAACAGCAGACTTGCTCTGGGAAGAGTCAAAGAGCTGCAGAGCAGAAGGAGCCCCCAGGATCCCTGGCTGACCCTCCCACCCATGGGTGCTCACTGGCTCTGCCACCACCCAGGCAGGTGGCTCTGGGAGCAGGCAAACGTGGGCAGCACAAGTAGAGCATGTGCAGACACACAGACTGTGTCTGCCTGTGCCTGCACAGCCTGTGCCAGCACTCAGGGGCCAGCCCTGCCCCTGCCCTGCCCAGGTGATGCCCACAGCCATCCTGGGCAGCAGCACAGAGTCCCTGCCCCATGCTGCAGGAGGGCATCAGCAGCAGGTTATGGGTGCCAAGATAAGCATGGCAGAGCCACATCCCTCCCCACCACTGGTGCCAAGCATGGCTCCAGCACAAGAGCTCACTGGCATCTCTCCTCTCCTGGCTGAGATGGAGCACCCTGCACTCACAGACCCTGCAGCCTGTGCTCCTCGCCTGGGCTTCACCCCGGCATTCCTTCCCTGTTTGGGTGCCACCAGCCCACCTCATACACCAGCAAACCTGCCCCACGTGTCCTACCAGGCACCCATCTCACCCACACACCCACTCTGCACCACCTTTCCCCCTCCACGTGCCACTGATCGAAGCGGCGAGACCCCAGGCGGGACCCAGGATGGGAACAGTCACAGTGCTCCTGGACATCTGCCCTCTCTCCTACCCGCTCCCTTCCCCGGCTGCCTCCGGGGCAACCCTGGGGAGGCAGAACTACTCTGCTCCCACATCCCCCCCCCAGCCGGGCTGGCAGCATCAGGGGGAGCAGCTGTGGCAGCCCCCGTGGGGCCGCGGGGAAGGGAGGGCGCTGCAGATGGGGACCCGCGGATGTGTGTCAGCGAGCAGCGCTCCTGTGCCAGGGAGCCCTCGCCGGAGGCTGTGTGGATCCTCAGCGCTCTGCCCTTCACCTCCCGCACCGCCTGTCGCATTCAGGCCTTATGTAAGTGCCCCCCTCCCGGCTCCCCCCGCCAGCACCGCCGCTCCCGGGGGACCCGGGCAAGGGAAGCCGCCGGGGCTGCGCCCTCCCGGTGCTCCCCGCACCCCGGCCGGGCGGGCGCGGCATCAGCCGGCGGCCGGCTCCGCTCCTCGGTGGGCGGATCTGCAGCCGGGTCCCTGCTGAAAGGCACGGCTCGGTGGCGGCTCGGAGGATGCTCGCTCGTCCTCTCTCAGCCACGTGTCCTCACCCTGGGAGGGATGGCAGCGGCGCTGAGGCACCTCCGTTTTGCCCCAGGGCATCCTTACATGCCCACCCGGTATATCACTCCCAAGCTCAGAGGAGAGCAGAGTTGCCTTGAAATTATTGGAGCACAAAATAAGGGCTGTATGCAGATGGGAGGATGCAGCTCTGGTGGAGGTTCAGTTGGGCAGGGATTCCACAAATGGAGAACACCTCCGTCCAGCGAGGAAAATCCACAGGAAAAAAAAAAAAAAACAACACACACATCACCACCACCAAAAAAAAAAACCCAAATCCTCCAAACAAACAAACAACCAAAAAAAAAAAAAAAAAAAGCCACAAGAAAACCTCACCAAAACACAGCACAACCTAGAAACCCCACAGAGGGTGTCTGAAATCTGTACTGCACATGTGCAGGCAATTCACTGCTGGTCATTAAGGAGATGGGCCCATGCTGTGCCTGCCCTCCTGGTATGCCCAGAGAACTCAGCAGGCTCAGAAATCAGGGTACAACACTAAAAAGAAACAGCTCAAAAAATCACATTACTGCATTCAGCCCACCCGAGTAGCGAGGCCCCACAGGGCTGGCCATGCAGGCACCTTTCCAGAGCCTGCAAAGGGGCAGCAGGGAATGCCAGACAAGGAGGGCAGGACAGCTGATGAAGAGAAACAGTCACATCTACTGCCCCATCCATGGCACAGGGATGACCTGGGCGCTGAGCCATCATGTCTGGGGCTGACACTGCTCTGTTTCTGACCCTCATCATCTCTGCACGTTATTCCCCTCCTCCTCTTCCTGCCCCACTGGGCAGTGACAGAAACACACCCAACAGGAGCACAGTAGTGCTGCGTTATCCCCCCAAAAAAATGCCAAAGTCTAAGCAATAAAAGCTGTATAGAGGGACAGAAATACAGCTGAGGCACCCAGAGACCCCAAGCTCAGCTCTGCCCACCACTGCTGGAGCTGCCTCTGCAGCACAATGCCTTGGCTGCTCTGCTTTGACTGCAGCTCCAGAAGAAAACCATCATTCATCCAATATTCCTTTCTGCAATGCTCCTCCTTCAGCAGAGAACTGGCCTTTGCCTAACAGTGACATCCCAGGGGGGCATTGCTGGCTCAGGAACCCCCCAAAGCTGTGTTCCCAAGCGGGATCTCAAAGGTACTTCAGACCCACTGCTCTGCCTGACATAGCTGGAAGGCAAACTGCCCAGTGCAGATCTTCTGCTCAGGTTCCTTCAGGTACAGCAGGTTAGGATAAAGCCAATTATTAATGACTGTCATATCTAATTTGTATGACTGGAAGCTACAGGCAGCTTCCAGTCTTTATGTTAGTGCACACAGCGCTCCCCGCAGAGCCATTTCAACCGATCCGTCATCGTTTTCTGTCTGCAGGAACACCACAGCCCTGCCAGCAGTGGCTTATCAGCTGATTTCCCAGCTCCAGAGCTTCCTCAGGGCTTCAGCCACCTGCTGCCATGGGCACTGCCGCTCCACCAACTCCTCCAGCCAAGCAATCTCATGGCACCAGGCAGTGCCACTACACAGCGGCCCAACTGGGCTGTGCTCACCAGTCACAGGGCTGGATTCACAACCCACTTTGCATCCATGGAGTGGCTGCACACCCAGCATAACCACCCTCTCCTGACACAGTGAAGAATCTCTTTCTACAAGTTACAGCAAAAAAAAAAGGCTTCTTCTACAGCTCCTCGGAAATACATTATGATGATATTCCTTTGGGTTTTTGTTTAATCCTCTTCCGTGGTTCTTTTAATAGCTTTTAAAAAACATGGAAATCTGAAGATAAAAAACATAAGCTAAGAATTAAAGTTCCAAGTTCCAAGTACACATCCTTAACTTTAGCAAAATGATGCTACAGGACTTAAAACTGCCTCCAGTTATGAGTTTTACAAAGCAAGAGGCACAGAGGTGAGTTACACCAGTGATGGCCAAATGTGTTCGGACATGGAGATGCACAGTCAAGGCCCAGCAGCCCCAGTGGTACCCTGGAGAGCCACAACACTCAAATCCAGATCATGGTATTTTAACATTTGTAATTCTGCATTTGGTTCCATCGGGTTTTTTTAAAGATTCTTTCCCTCCATCTGCCCATGTCCCCGCAGCACAGAATAAAAGGCACCCAAACAATCTCAATGACATGTTTCTAAAGCCTTCCTGTATTTGGATTGTTTTTCAATTACAAACCCCAAAAAATGATGCAAACCCTATATATCAAGAATTCCCTGGGTTTCAAATGCCTGATTTGGGATGATCACAATACCCCTGTAACACATCTGATACCCTCACATTGCTGTTCTGTGCTCTGTGCTTTCTGGTGTAACTTCATGTTAGCATAACATTTAGGATGGGAATTCAGCCTTAATTTAATACTGACAGACTGCCATGAGAACCAAGCTTAGCCCCCTTCACCGTGGGCTGTTGCATGTGCCTCGCATTGCTCCCTGCTGCCTCAACAGCTCTTAAGCTTCCCCTTTGGTCTTCCAAAGCATGCAAAACAACCTGGAGACCCGAGAAAGGACATTTCATCCAAGGGAAGCAATTCCCCTCGCATCCCATGGGAGGTGGGAGCAAAACTTTCCCAGCTTTGCCGCCTACAGCACTCTGGTTCTTCCCTGCAGCAGCGAAGCCAAACGTGTCCCCCAGCGAAGATGGGCTGCAGGGAGGCAGCCAGGAGCTGTGCCTGCCAACTGCAAGTGAAACCGGGCTGGGCTGGGCAGATACGGCCAAACTGGGAACGCTCAGACAGGCACACAGCGAGAAGCTGGAAGGATAAAGACACCCCAGGCATCCCAGGTCGCTCTGCCAGGCCGCTGGTGGGTGAGCGGAGGAAGCGAGGCTGCTGGCTGCTAGGGATGTTATTCATGTGCTTCGGAAAACAAATGCTCCGTAGGTATTTCCACGGCCACACTGCCTGCCAGACGGCTTCCTCCTCAACAAAGAGACGCTCTCCATGGAAACCTGGGCGGGTGGGATCCTCTGGAAGGCTCTCTGGCAGATGCATATTCAGGCATCTCAACACCAGCCAGACGAGCCGGATCCACACCTCCTCTGGCAGGCGGCCGAGGAGATGTGAGCAGACAGGCTGCTCTCATATTGGACCCTTCCTCGGGGCCCAGCCTCCTGCCCAGGAGCACTCGGGCTGACACGACCCCAGGCTCAGCACGCTGATGCTGTGGCTCTGTGTCCCGTGTGGTACAGGGCCAGGAGAGATCCAAACCACCCAGCTGGCACGGATGGATGATCTCCTTCCAACAGGGTGTCCCACTGCACCCTCCAGCCACTCTGGCTTGTGCAGCTCTGCTTGACATCTGAGCCCTCTGTATTTTAATGAGAGGTAACTGGGGGCCAGCCCATGCACCCCAGAACAAACATGCACCTGGCAAACAGTGTGAGAAACCTCTGCCTCCTCTTCCCCAGGGTGACTGAGCTCCAAACCTTTCCACCAGCCTGTGCTCCTGGAGCTCAGGCTGGTGCTCAGCTCTCAGGCAGCAGCACCTGCCAGATGTGCTGCCCACCCTGCCAGCTTCTCTCCTGTGCTTGTCAGCAACCCCAGCTCTCACCCAGTCCCATCCCACCGGGCCTACAATGCTGCAGAAACCCCACAGGAAACCCTGGGGAGCACAGAAGCTGCAGCACAACTGGACTGCTGTGCTCGTGCCCATGTGTCCCACAGGCTCCTCACGAGCAATCCTCTGCCTGCAGGTCTTGGCTCACACCCTCTGATGTTCGTGGCTTGGGTCAGTGCTTAAGGACAATACCACAGAGCAAAGTGGTTTGTGGATTGTGCCCAGTGGGTCTTTCTGACCCACCCCAGGTTACCCACCCATGCCACAGGTAGATGCTTCCTGGTCCCACAGCACCGTGGGGACAATTCCCAGGACTTCAAGTTGGTCACAGAGCTGGTGCACAGTAATAGATGCCTTGCAGTTACACATGTAGGGTTTCAGAAAGGTCTGCCCTGCTGCTGCTACTGCTCTGCTTTTCCAGGAGTGACCTAAATGACAGTATGCTTCAAAATGTGCACATGACATCCAGCACTTTGGAGGCCTGGATGGGAGTTTGACACGCTCCTGACAGACTGGCTGAGAGATGATGGGCAGGGCAGTAAGTCATTGGGAGGTGAAAAATCGCACAGACCACGGAAGAAAACAGAGCAGCATTTCTGCCACAAGGCTCATGAGGGCTACAGGAGTACAAGCTGAACATGAGCCAGCATATCATTGCCACAGAAAAAGGCAACTACAGTAGGATGTGTGAAAGGTCAGCTTACACGTGAAGTAATTACTCTCCTTTCAGCTCATAAAGACACACCAAATAATTATGCTGTTGTCCAGAGAACCAGTTCATTCCTCGAACTGAGAAAGGCCTTGGGAGGCCAGCAAGATCACCAAAAGCCTTGGACAAGAGTCTGGAAGAGTGAAATTAGTCTAGACAAGACAAGTC